GATGGCCTAAGTCCTTGGGCCCCTGCACCCACGTGGGAGACCTGGAAGAAGCTCCTGGCTTCAGATGGGTACAGTTCCAGCCGTTGCAGCCAACTGGAGAGTGAACCAGCAGATGGAAGATCTCTCGCTCGTTCACTTGCTCACTTTTGCTCTCGCTCTCTCTCTCTTGGCCTCTCTGCCTGTGCCTATCTGTAACTCTGCCTTTCAAATAAATACATAAATCTTAAAAAAAAAAAAAAAGGGATTGTCAGTTACTAAGACGGGGGAGGTTACAGGTAGAACAAAGCTGAAAAAGCCAGGGCATTCAGGAGCTCCCCTTTAGGGGTCCGTATTCAGTTAGAGAAGCCTCGTGGTCATCAAGGGGAGGTGGCGGAGCAGGCAGCTGGGCTTCCGAGCCCCAAGCTCCAGGGAGAAGTCAAAGCTAGGGATAGAAATGGATGTGTGAGGGTGAAGGGTCTCATTGAAATTGTGAGGCTGAATTAAGATTCCCACGCAAATGAGCTCAAAACAAGACGAGGCCCAATGGCTGAGCTCTGGATCCTCCCTGTCTGGGAAAGGGGGAGGCACCAACTGAGAGAAAGAGAAAGAGAGAGAGAGAGAGAGACCAAAGAGATAGCAGAAAACCTTAATTGTCCTTTCTGGGACAGCCCACAAAACTTATGTCTGCTGCTTGATTATTGGTTTGTATTGCCTTGGTGGAGACAGACCAGGAGCTTCTTTAGGGTGAGAATCACAGCCCTTCTCTCCTTCCCACAGTGCTAGGCTTCAAGGAGCTCTTCAGTTAAGCTTAACTACCCTGCCATCTGACAGCTGAGTACAGAGGGTAGGGGACTCAAGAAATCACCTGGCTTTGTGATTTCCCCACTGCATTCTGTGGAGCAAGTCAAAGGAATTCTTGGCCTTCATCGTCGGGAAACTCGTGCAGCTGTGACCCCTCCGTTCGTAGAAGGTATGAAAAAGCAGCTGCATCCTGGCGGGCAGAAACAGGCCTCATCCCTTCCTTGTAAAGAAGTAGTGACGTGGTCGGTGTTGTGGCAAAACAGGTTAAGACTCTGCTTGCAGCGCCAGCGTCCCATATGAGAGCCCGGGTTCGAGTCCAGCCTGCTCTACTTCAGCTTCCTGCTAATGTGCTTGGGAAAGCATGGGGTCTTCAGCCTGGCCCAGTCCCAGATATTACAGCCTTTTGAGGAGTGAACCAGTAGACAGAAAATCTCTGTCACTCTGCCTTTCAAATAAATTACTTTTTTTAAAAAAAGAGACATGATGATAATTTTTTCAACTTGAACATTTCAGAAAGTTTCAAGGGATTGGATGTCATCAAGGACCTCTAGAGGCTAGAGGGGCCGGGGAGAAACAGCCCTGCCTCCAGCTGCCATGAGAAAGGAAGACACTGGCTCCTGTTCTTCTTAGGACCAGCTGCAGGCTGGAACCCTTCATAGAACTCGAGAGATCATCTGGTTCAACCACCTCCTAGAAAGATGGGGAAACTGGACCTAGAAAGGCCCAAGTATCTTGTTCAAAATCACATACCAAGCATGTTTCATCCGAGATTAAAGACCAGGTCTCAACTGGAAACCTCTCCACTCAGATTCAGTCAATTAAACTCTATTAGCGTTTACTATATCCCTGGAAACAGGCCAGGCGCTTCTACATGCTGTCTTTCTCAATCCTCACCACAATCCTAATCAGCACAGCTGTAGGATTATCTCTCTTTCACAGATGAGAGCACTGATGCTCCGCAGGGAAAGTGATGTGTCCAGGGTCGTGGACTAGAGTGTTGGAAGCCCCTCAGTAGAACTTGCCTTCCAAGCTTATGTAGTCCCCTGCTGCAAGTTGTTACCCCTTGGATCCTGACCCTCTCCTCCCACCCCCCGACCAGCTTGGTATGTTAGGGAATAACAACACACCAAGGGGTTGAATCACTTTAACTCAAGACTTTGCCATTCATTAGCTATGTGATTTTGGGCCGTGCAACTTCCTGTACTAGTTCAGAAAACTGGAACCATCACAAATGATATGGAACAAGGGATTTATTATTATTAGGTATTATACAACCTATATAAGGTCAAAGGTATACAAAAGGTCTTTAAAATGTTCAAGTCATGGAATGGAATTAAAAGATAAGCTTATTATGGTGCAAAAATTTTAAATTCCATGCATGTGAAGGGAATTCAAAACATTCATGCAAAATGTACATTAAGAAAAAACTATGTACTGGGGCTGGTACTGTAGTGTGGCAGGTAAAGCCACCACCTGCACTGCCAGTATCTCATGTAGGTGCCGGCTGCTCCACTACTAATCCAGCCCCCCGCTAATGGCTTGGGGAAGCAGTGGAAGGTGGCCCAAGGGCTTGGGCCCCTGTACCCATGTGGGAGACCCAGAAGAAGCTCCTGCTCCTGGCTTTGGATCAACCCAGCTCTGGCTGTTGCGCCATCTGAGGAGTGACTCAGTGGATGGAAGATATCTCTCTCTCTCTCTCACCTCTCTCTCTCTCTCTCTGCCTCTGCCTCTCTGTAACTCTGCCTTTCAAATAAATAGATAAATCTTTTTTTTTTTTGACAGGCAGAGTGGACAGTGAGAGAGAGTGAGAGAGAGAGAGACAGAGAGACAGAGAGAAAGGTCTTCCTTTTGCCGTTGGTTCACCCTCCAATGGCCGCAGCGGCCAGCGCGCTGCGATGATCCAAAGGCAGGAGCCAGGTGCTTCTCCTGGTCTCCCATGGGGGTGCAGGGCCCAAGCACTTGGGCCATCCTCCACTGCACTCCCTGGCCACAGCAGAGAGCTGGCCTGGAAGAGGGGCAACCGGGACAGAATCCGGCACCCCGACCAGGACTAGAACCTAGTGTGCCGGTGCCACAAGGCAGAGGATTAGCTTATTGAGCCATGGCGCCGGCCATCAAATAAATAGATAAATCTTAAAAAAAGGAAAACCTATGCATGGATTTCAAAAATTTTTGCACCATAATAAACTTATATTTTAATTCTATTTTCCATGCATGAATTTTTTTGCATAACCTTCATGTAGTGACATGACAAGTCCTAAAAAGCACTTGAAAATACCAACGAAAATGTAGTAAAAATAAAAATATATGTAAATACATAAATACATAAATACATGCACAAACACATACATATATGGAAACATATGTGGAAACATATGTATAAAATACTGGGAATAAACTCACCAAAACATTCATGGTGGACATTTATACATGATGGGGTAATGAGAGGTTTTATTTTTACTTTACTTGCTTTCTAATTTTGTAGCTAAACAGGTATTCAAATCGGAAATTATTTAATTGGTCATATTTATTGCTCATTTACTTCTTTCTTACCTAGTGTTTTTTTTTTTTTTTTCTCTAGAGAGACAAGATAATGTCTGGAGGCACTTGCACTCATGAAGTTAATTATAGGGAAAAGCCAAGGTAGATGGGGTTAGAGAATATCAGGCCTGGAGGTGTCAACGGCTATGTAATTCAGCTCCCCATTTGCTAAGTGGGGACACTGAAGTCCACAAGGTCAAAGCCCTGTCTAGAAACATGTGGAATCTGGAGAGTGCCAGTGACTTGGCATTTCCGGTTGAGTGCACGCTCCCTCACCCTTGATCTCTCTAATATGACACCCATGGTTGAGTCTGTGCTGCTGATAATGATCAAGAGAGGAGGGGAGGGGAGAAATGGCCCCTTCACCTTAGCCCTGTTGGGTAGGAACTGGGACATTTCTCCCACAGCCAGGCACTCTAATTTGGTTAGTGTTCTTCAAAACCTTAGAGTGCCTCAACAGTGTTCAATCAATAACCATCTCTCCTCTTTCCAGTGTTTCAGAAGCGATTTGGACAAAAGTGATCTGCTAGGCTGAACTTTTAGACGGTGTCAGTAGGCTTAATGTTTCTTCTATCTCACGTCCCCCTCATTGATAACCGAGATGCACTTGCCTAAAGTTGCTCTCTGGATCTCAACAGAAATCTCATAGCCAGTCATTGCTCCCAGAAAACCCTCCTACCAGTCAAGCTGGCCACTCAGCTAAGACAAGTCATGAGCCAAACAATAGAAAAAAAGAGTAGTGTTTTGCTATCCAAGATTTTTTTTAGTGGCATTAGTCAAGTATTGCGGGCCAGTGGATTTTTGAGGCAGTCCAAAAGAATGAATTTCCCTTGATACTCAGATGCAGTGCACAGAAAGAAGGATGAGAATATGGACCCAATGCTGGAATCTGAAGACTTAATCTTTTATTGTGTAGGGAGAGGGAGCAAAGTCTGGGTAAAAACAAGCCGAGCCTAAAGTGAGGAAAGTAGAGACTGTATTTTAGTGCTTTTATCTATCAGGGGTATGACCCTGAGCAAGACATTTCACTTTCTGGCTCTGGCTTTTTCCGTGAGAAACTGGGGTAATAGTCATAATGGTTCTTTCAGAGCCCACTGTTCAGAGATCAACAGAATGGGCATGAAAACATCAGAAGTTGATTGATTTCATTAGAGTACTAGTATTAGTTCTCATGGAATTAGGCTTCCTGCTCAAATGAAATTGATGGCCAAGTATCCAATGCTTAGATTTTTGAATGGACTGGAAAAGAAGGTGGGTGAAACGAAACAATAAATGTTAATTTTTTTTCCTGGAAAGCTCTATTGTTTAATCTCTTTCTTGCAGTTAAAAAAAAATCCAGCCACACTGTAGAGAACAGAGTACAGGCTTCTCTTTGCTGTCACCACTCACCCAATGGTCAGTATCACTTCCCCTAGCTTTTTTTCTTTTCAACCAAATCAAAAATTCAAAAATTGAGCTTCTCTTCTCCAGTAACCACATCAAACATTGTCCTGCTTGAACATGGACCTGCCATAGCCTGAATAACAAAGAAGAGATAGGAGCAAAGGAAGACGAGAGAGGGCAGAAGGAGAGGCTCACTGTTGTATTCTTTGGAAGGATGACAGTTAATCAGACTTCCTTTAGTAAACAGCCAAGTAGTTTTCTTCAAACAGAGATCACAGCAACTCCAGACAGGAGCAGGCAGGAGCAGAAACATGAATCTGGCTCTCTAACCAGTGGTGTTTCCACTCATCTGTGGCTCCTGAAAGAGAACCCTAGAGCAAGTCAGGCCTTAACACCATGCCCTGTATTAACAAGCAAGGACCTGGCCTTGCAGGTAAAAACCTTCTAGGGATGAGACTTTCTGCCTCATCTTGGGCTCCACCCAAAGCCAGGTGAGTCCTGTAAAGACTGTGACTACTCCAGGATCCACACAGACCCAGCTGCCATGCCTGCTAGCATTGAACTTCACTACTTCTTAATCCAGGCAACAAATCAACACAACTGAACGTAAGTCACTGGAGTAGAGAAAATGAGGCAGGCGTAAGGACTTCTAAAGAGCCGAAGAAATGAAAGTTAGGGCTGGAGTCTCTTCAATTGTTCCTTTACTGCCAGTCTTTAACTCCTGAGTCACCCTCCACACCCCACCGTTCAAACTGCGACTCCGCTGCCTTACCAGGTAGGTAGAGATGCTGCCAACGCTGCTTTCATGAGACTATGGCCATTTGACACAATGTCCTCTGCTGCATTTCAGATGCACCTGTGCACCTCCTTTCAGGTGGTTGGTTTTCAGCTGGATCAAGTGAAGACTAATCTTGCATAAGAGATAGCCAGAGATTGCTAGCCAGCGTCGAGCCTTCAGCAGTGCGTGCGTAATTGTACTACTCGGTTGATTGATGCAGGTTCTGTTGAGAAAGTCTGCATTTTAAGGAAGTGCAACTTGTAACTTCTGAGTTGGAGCAGGGAGCACGCCAAGAGGAGGACTGGGGTAGGCTGGGGAGCGACTTGTTGAGCTTCAGGCACTGAACTGGATACAAAACTACCAGGATGCAAAGATTCTCCAAGGATCAGGTATGAAGGACCAGGCAGATAATTGTCAGGTACCACAGCAAATGCTGGTAAAGTGATCTTTGCTCATCCAGTGTGCAAAGTCCAGATTTGAGCATGCCGGTTATTTCTACTGAATTTTTTCTCACAATACTCCCATCTATATGGAATAGAATTGCATTATCCAGAACTCCCTGGCATAGAATGCTAAAATATTGGTGTATTGTATTTTCAGTTTTAAAAGTCTCAGCTCTTGTGCAGCATTGGCTTCTCTCCCTTCCCCAATGGATCTGGACAACTCCTTTTCTCTCCTCTCCTCTCCTCTCCTCTCCTCTCCTCTCCTCTCCTCTCCTCTCCTCTCCTCTCCTCTCCTCTTCTTTTCTTTCCTTCTCTCTCTTTTCAACCTAAGATAAAACTCACTGTCCTCATTCTCAGTTCTCCTGGTAAGAGTGCATGGAACCAGAGAATCATATCATTGTTGGGTTCCGAAAAACCTTAGAGATTTTCTACCACTCAATCTCCAACATAACACCCCCTCAAAGAATCTACCCAGCTGCTTCTTAGGTATCTCCAGGATAGGGAATGTTTAACCATCTCATGATTGGCGTATTGAGACATTCTATAATCTAAATTCAGACTTCCTTATTGACTTAATTATAGGAAGAAATCCATCACAGTAAGATAGCACTTACTAATGGTATGTGGGGCTGTGTGCAGTTGATAACATCAACAGATGCAAATAGGGCCCATGATCACAGTCTGTACATAAGTGCTTTGTAAGCTTAATGATCAGACAAATGAGGGTACTTCAAAAGGTTCAGGGAAAAGTGCATTACCTTTTAATTTTATTTTTCCAAGAAACTTTTGAAGTACCTTCATAGTGGACAGCTATTGCCAACAGTGGAGAAATAGTTCCAAATGACAGATTAAGTATTGATGATGTAGGCTTCTGTGGGAAGCCTTCCTTGGTCATACAGAAAAGAGCTACTTTGATTTTAGCTCTTTAAGGGACCTTGTGAAAATCAGGTCGATGTCACACCTTGTGGGATATGAGATGGGCAGTTGATGGCATCTTAGCCACTTTACAGGTTTTCTTCATCTCTTTTGTCTTAAAACTATGACTAAGTAAAAACATTCATAGCATTAGGCTCCCAACACAGTTTTATAAACTGAAGATTCCCAGAATAAATCTTTCAATATTTCTTCATGTTTAAACTGGGAAATTGAGGCCCAAACTCACAGAGCCTTTCTGAGATGAAGCCAGAACTGAAATCGGTCTCCCCATCTAGTGGAGTTCTCTACTTTTCCTTATCAATAATATTATGTGTTGACTTTGTATAGAATGTGAGAGTCTCTCTATTGTGTTTTGGAGTAGGAACTTTAGAAAGTTTTTTGGAATAGAGAAATAAGCCAGCCTCTCCCAGGCCCCAGGTGGCAACCTTGTGAAAAATACATTGCTAACACGCCTTTTAAAAAATAAATACAGAGCAATAAATACACAGCAAACATCATATAATTGTATCTGCATGCAAAAAGTATCTCCATCAAAAGAACTGTTCATTATTAAACTTTTATTATGTTTCAGGCATTTCCTATACATTATTACATCTGTTCTTCCTAATAACTCTGTAGGGTTGATGGTATTATGATCATCTTTCCAGTGAGAAACGGAGGCTCCCAAGACTCATGTCAATGTGGCAAAGCTCAGATTTAAAGCAGGTTGTCCCAGCTCCAAAGCCTGTGTTATTCTTATGATGGCCACCATGTTCTCTAGGTGTATCAAACCCACCAACAAGCCCCAGCCTGGTGCAGGATAAACTTGCAGGGTTATGGGATTTTTGTTTGCTTGCTTTTGGAATTTTTAAAAATGCTATTAGCTTAGTCAGCTCATCAGTGTACTTAGGAGGCATCTCCCACACTTACTGATGTACTCTTCATAGTTAAGAGTATCTTGTAAATAAAGCAAACTAAGACCCTGGCATCTGATGATATGTTGCACATTTGGCATATAAACATAGATAAATAGAAATAACATTCTGGAAAGATGTATTCACCTGTCATAACTTTTGAAGTGTTGTTTTTACTAAAACATGTTTACATTAAAAAACTATTTTCAGAATTTAAAACCAGATTATTTGCAATAGAGCTAAATCTACCATTTTATTATAAATTCTTGGCATTTTTTTACTTTTGCATTTTAAAAAATGTACATTTTTGGGTTTTATGCAGAAAATGTTGTTAGATGTTGCCTTAGGACAGAAATATTTACTTTCTAGCTTACAGTAATATTGATTTATCAAAAATAGATCATGGGTACTGATCGGTTCCCTGAAAGCAAAAGAAAATGAAGCTGTGCAATTTTAGAAGGGTTCTGCCATTTTTGCTCTTGAGGTCTTGGGGGACAGTCCATAACCATGGAATCAAATAGTCTGCTTGGAGTTTGCTATAGACAACAACTATATGGCAGCTAGGTGCAGTCAGTCCCTGGGCGAATAGGAGAACTGTCATCTTGTCAATAAAGTTGTTATCAGATTTATGATGTATAGTCTTACTTCATGCCCAAGTGAAGTATAATCATCTTCTCTTCCTTTTAAAATTCACTGAGGATTCTCCAAATGCAAGCAATGAGAGTCATGATGGAAGCACGAAAAGCACATATAAAACCAAGCCCAGCTCTGGTGAGTGCTTACTGTAAACCAGGAGCTGTCTTAGACACTTTAACTCTTAGGACTTCACAACAACTCTGTGAAAGCAGAACTCACTGTCTCCACTTGTACGAATTCCCAAGTGTGCACAGTTGCTGCATGCAGGAGCTTTCGTTCAAAACCAGGCAGTGGCTCCAGGCCCCAGGGTCTCCAGACACCATGCTACACTGCCTCTATCAAGTGTTGGCCACCAGAAAGGCCTTCCACGCAGTCAGTAACCCAAGAGGGAGGAGTGAAGTCTACTACGCACTATAGGGTTTGAGCAGGATCTTTGTGGTTTCTGCCACCTCAATGCCACCATCTTCCTTACCAGATAGAGCTTCCTATTTTGATGGGTGAGTCATATAGTTATTCTTTATGATCTTCAGCTCAACTTCCTCTTTAAGGGGAAGCTTGCTTATGCTCAGATGTAGGTTACCTTGCTGGTCACCTCTCAACGTTCTACTAGTCATTCCCTGAACTTGAGAAGCCTTGACTCTGCCGACGACATGTATGTCTTCCCAGACTTGAAAAACACCAGTCTGTTTTCATCCGACCAAAAAGTAAATTCTTAAAGAACAGCACTCGTGTCTTGCTTACTCTTTACTCCTGTTCCGTCTGTCCAGTACATGGCATCCTGTTAATAAATGCCAGAATGAGTGAATGACTCCTCTTTGAGGACTTCCTGAACTCAGCAGTCCCCCAGAGGTCTGTTCTAGTACCGATTCCTTTCCTCATTAACTCGGTAAAGATTCACTAGAAGGGGACGTGAAGTCTGCTCACAGAGCGGAAGATTTCGGACTTGACGGCTCACTCTTCATTCATCTGATTGTCCGCTCATTTATTAATAAGCATATATTGGCTACTTCTTACATTGAACACATACAATAAGTGGAGGTACGGATGTTAGGAAGTAAGGATTTAGACTGGAAATTCCTGGTTGCCAACTTCACCACTTAACAGCTATCAACTCAGACAACTTTCTTCACCTCTCTGGTCCTGCTTCCTCTTTTGCAAAAAGGGAAAACTTCAATATCAACATCCTCAATCAGCTGTGAGGCTTGAAGGAGATTATACCTGTTAAGTGCTCAATAAATGTTACCCATTAACTACTTTAATTTGCTTGATAAGTGAAATAGAGGAATCAGACAACAAATTCATAGAAGATACATTATTGAACCTGAAGTACAAATAGAAATGTGAGGGGTGCTCACATTAAGACAGGGAACACTTGTCATGGGAAATCAAAGAAGGCTTTCTGTGTGGGGGAGAGTACATTTGAGCAGTATGCACACAAAGACATGTATGGTGCAGGCATTCCCAGAGAGAGAGAGAGAGAGAGAAAGAGAGAGCCCAGCAAATAAAGAACAAGCTCATATTGTAAAGAACAAGCTCATATTGTAGACTCCTGATTCTTTGGCTGAGGTGATTGTGGCTACAAAGGATTGGAAGTATCCTGGGTAGGACCTTGAACACCAGCTGGGGAATTGGAATTCCATTCTCTAAGGGCCAGGTACATCCTGTGGATGGATGGTCTTCATTCAGTTTTCTTCTTTGCTTAGAGCCAATGTGGATGTGTATGAGCATCTGTGTTTTCATCTGCAGGCTTTAAGCAAACTCTTCTCTCGTATTAGGGAAATGTGATCACCTTCCAATCTGCTTTGACATCAGCATGTCACTGGGGTGACTCAGTAGCCCTTGGAAAAAGACTCCATGGTGGAGAGGAGGCCCATTTTACCAGAGAGGAAACTCACAGGGACAGATGAGATCATCTGTCAGTGACAACTGTTGTTCCTTGGATGGGTGGGGATGTGCATTTCATGGCTTCTGACCCAGAGACTCTGTGTTCCCTGAGGTGGGGGATGCAAGGGCGGTGCCAGAGGGAAGCCGAGGCCCTGTCTCTCCAGTGGCAGAAAAGAACAGTTTTGACAACAGAACCTGCAATGTGGGGCTGCATTTGCTGCCAGTGGCCACTCTCATTTGCTGTGACTTGCAGCAGTAAGTGCTATGCAAAATATATTCATCTGTAGATATTTTTCTGCCCTTCTGGCTTGGCCCACTGAGTACCTTTCCTCTGGCCTCATCCCAGGTTTCTTACAGGGCTTCAAAAGAAATTGTTATTGACTGAACTCTGGGGTTATTTATAATGGAAATCCAGTCTCTCATTCCTCCTGCCCGCCACGGAAGAGTTGGGCTCTTAATCTAAACCTTGGGGAATCAGAGGCCCAGTTTGCTTTATTTAGCTTTCAGGACATTGGATTGTTTTGTGAAGAGCTCAAAGTTCCACTAAAGATAAAAGTATCCTGTGTCCCAATGTCTTGACCAATTTAAGTCACTCCTCTTTCTCTGCTCCAAATCCTGTGCTCATATATCCCAAACTTGGGTGTTCTTCCTTGTTCCTTTCTTAAACAGTTTTATAAAAGGGCAATTTGGATAAGAACCAATTTTTGAGCACACCCCAGAGGCAATTTGCTTAAGTGTAAATTATTTACAGAAAATAATTTAAGTATATATATTTAACAATGTTGTTAAAGGTTGGGAGGAGTTGTGAGGTTCAAGAGGGAGGCTCTGTAACTATGTATTCCATATCAAAGTTTGGACCCTTGTCCTTGCACATAGCAAGCGATCAATCATTTTTAGTAAATGCATCAATTAATATTCATGTAAGTGTGTTTTTATATAAAGTGCAGAGCTAAATTCTAGGAGCATTACAGTGGTTTTCTTTAGTTTAAGTATTCTTATATATTTCTGTCCACCCTCCCCTGCCCCCTCCCCCCCCCCCCCCAATTAGCTTTTAGCATTTTGCCTATGTCTTATTGCACTGGATACTTTGATTATAAGCCACTCAAGATCTTTGAAAGTTTTATTTATTTATTTATTTTTAAAGATTTATTTATTTATTTGAAAGGCAGAGTTACAGAGAGGCAGAGGCAGAGAGAAAGAGAGAGATCTTTCATCTGCCGATTCACTTGCCAGATGGCTGCAATGGCCAAAGCTGCGCCGATATGAAGCCAGGAGCTTCTTCCGGGTCTCCCACCTGGGCACAGAGGCCCAAGGACTTGGGCCATCTTCTATTCCTTTCCCAGGCCATGGCAGAGAGCTTGATCAGAAGTGGAACATCTGGGTTTCAACTGGCGCCCATATGGGATGCCGGCACTGAAGGCGGCGGCTTTACCTGCTATGCCACAGCTCTGGCCCCTGAAAGTTTCATTTTGACAGAGGTGGTATAAAGTAATATCAAATACATTCATGCGTACTTGTAAAATCTTGTTATTTCTCACTTAGTAAGTGTATGTATGAACTTGGTCAAATTCCTGAGATGCTACGGGCCTCTGTCTCCACATCTGTAAGATGGAGATGACAACAGTGCCTCGCTCTTGAAGAATTAAATGAGATAATGGAGATTAGAATTCTTAGCCCAGCACCTGGCATGTGTTCAATGTTATTGTGTCATGTGTTAAGATGACAACAGTGATTTTTTTTCTAGATGAAAGGAATTATACCATGATATTTATTATAAGCTATAAATCAACTTCCTCTCTTTTGGTAAGAGGTTAGATACAAAAATCCAATAAAATATTTTAATTATTCATACATTTATTTTATATATATATATATATAGACTATCCATTTAATCACAGTATTCGAGAAGGCTTATAATAAAATAGTGTAAACAATATAATAATTAACATCTGGATTAAGAAATCATGAGTCATTTATTGAAACAATCCTTTACAGACGACCTGGTGCATTCTCGAATGTTTTGTATTCTAGCTCTTGATTTTCACAACATCTCTGCTAGGGAGGTGCTATCTCTCATTCTATCTGAGGAGGAGTAAAGTGACTTGCCCTAGTTCTCACCACTAGAACGTGGTTAAGCAATCCAGGGTGTTCAGGAGTCCAGAATCACAACACCGTCTCACAAAGCAGAAGAGCCAGGAGTCAATTCCCTCTTGGGATAAGCTTGAATCACTGCATTCCCATTCCCACCATCAGGGATATGCAGAAGGGGCAATAAGGCACTAGCCAGCTCTGGGGCCAGGCAGACCTGACCTAAATCCCAGTTCTATTGCTTTCTGACTGTGTGACCTAGGGGCAAGTAGCACAGGTCTCTGAGTTCCAGTTGACTGGTCTATATGCTGGAACAACGGCAGCTCGCTGAGTTTTGGGAAAATTAGATGAGGCGGTGCTCACTGTGAGGGCAGAACGGTAGAGCACCAGGCACTTCCGGACGCTGGGCTGTGCACAAGTCTGGCTCTGGCTTTGATGGCCCTGAGGCGGGAGCATCTTGGCGGCAGAAAATGTGGCTGAGAAAGAACATGTGGGTGTTAGGGGAAGGGAAAGTCCAATGGGAGAAAAAGTAAGATCAAGATGAAGAGGGAGGGAGGACTTGTGAAGGAATAAGAGCGTGTGGCTGCCCCGTGCTTTGGCTATGTGGGCTAGCCCATGGGGAAGGGGAAGCAACGGAGAGGGAATCAGGAGACCTGACTTCTAGACTCGGTGCTAATTCAGCTGTGTGACTCCGCTCTGGGCCTCAGCTTACCATCTGAAAAAGTGTGGGCCAGAGAATGTAATCTCTAAGGTTCCCCTCAGCCCTGCTGTTCTATCACAAAATCCGGTCTCTGAAGGCTTGACTGGGAACTTGAAAGGATTGAACCCAGAAGTTGTGGTGTGTCCATTTTGGTTCATACATGCTGATTGGTCTGAAATATTGAGTACTTTAAATTTTTTTGTGTCTGAACAGCTTTTTTTCCCCTTGGCTGTATCGAAACCACAGGGCAGGCGTTTGGTGCAGTGAGTATGACACTGCCCACACCCCATATCAGAGCACCAGGGTTCGAGTTCCAGTTCTGCTTCTAATTCTGCATTTCTGCTAATGGGAGGCATCAGATGATGGACCAAGTACTTGGGTTCCTGCCAAGGAGACCTGAATTCTGTGCTCCTGGCTTTGGCCTGGTCCAGCTGCTGGCTGTTGAGGTCATTTGAAGAGTGAACCAGTTGATGGAAAATTCTCTCTCTTTCTCTCTTGCTCTCGCTCTCACTCTCAATCTCTCCTTCTCTCTCTGGCTTTCAAATAAGGAATGAATAAATAAATTTTTATTTATTTATTTATTTTTATTCCATTTTATATCCTTTGTGTAGCAACGAAGTGGAAAAACATGTCATCTAAATCAGGCCAGAGTTGAATCTTCCAGCAACTCTTAGCCATCATGTGATGTAATAAGGAAATCTGTTGGATCATAGATTGTCCAACCATGCTGTCACTTTATGGATCAAACTAGATCTGCTAATTGTGAGAATGTCTCAGTAACAGACACCAGGACTCTCATCAAAGCAAAGAGACAATGGGGAAGAGGAGGAGAGGAGCAAAAGAGAAGAGAGAGGAGGCAGAGGGAGAGAAAATAGAAAAAAAAGGGAAAGAGGAAACTGCGTGTTGGATAGCAATTCACATTTTACGAAGAATTAAAACAAAGCGGTGGCCCATCCTGAGCTTCAGAATCACATCATGATTATGTCTATTGCAGGAGAGGAAGCAAAAGCCTGAAGAATCGAGGCAACTGCCGAAGGCAGTGCGAACTGACACCATTCCAAGGCTCTTTCTTGGGGCGCATCCCTTCTAGGTTGTATTAGTGTTAGGGGTGTGCGTGTGTGTGTGTGTGTGTGTGTGATCTTCCTATTTTGGGAGCACTCATATTTTCAGGAATCAGTCTGAGGATCTGGAAAATGGCTTTGAGACATCTAGTGGGAAATCTGCAAGGAGCCTACATACAGTACAGAGAGTCCCTCGTGCTGGCTAGTTTATGCCATGAGGTGGTCAGGCAGGAATTATTTGTGAGTCACGTTTTGCACGAGAGAAGACTGTGGTCTGGGAAAGTTAGCTGGCTTCTTGGAGCTCACCAAGTGTGGGGTGGATTGAAATCTTCCACCAAAAGGCTCTGGGCACTGTTCCAGACAGACTGTGCATCCCTGACACCTCCTGATTTCTCAGTCAGCGAAACATGAACACTGCTGCCTGCACAAGCAGTCTGGCAGTGCCAACACTCATAAAATTAGCACACTGTGAAGGCCTCTGCCCATGGATGTAGTCACTATTCTGCACGGCATAGTTACATGGGAAGTCCGTCTACAGAGACACGCTCCTCATTTGGACGGGGTAGGGCTCCTCGGCCCTCCGGTCTCCAGGTACCCATTGTCTACCCTGCAGCTGTTCCCTGAAATCTGCTGTGTGTGCTAAGGGTACAAGAAGGACTGCTGATGTTGTTTGCAGTCCTTGTTTTCCCCATTTGAATGATCCCATCAGAACGCATTCATATCGCCCAATGGAATAAAGTCATATAATAGGGTGCCACATCCCTCACCCCGCTGCCATAGCTGGCCACTAGCGAGTGGTGAGAGTTCCTGAACCCGGAGGACCACTTCGAAGGGGCTTTCTTCAGAAGGCTGGGCTCAATCTCGAACTAAGCTTGTGTGTTGCTCGCTCTCTCTCTCTCTCTCGCTCTCTCTCACACACACACACACACACACACACAATACAAAACAAAAACCCTTCTAAGGTTTTTGCTGGTGATTCAAATAGTTCCACATGGGATCGTAAGAAAATGAGCCATTCCTCACATCAGTAGGAGAAAATTCACTTGGCTCTAGGGCATAGGCATGCACCCTACTGCGTATCTTAAAACTGGTTCCCCATCTCGTTTTGGATGTGGTACTGAAATGCTTCATGATCATGTTCAAATGTACCTTTTACTGTGTTTGATCTCTGTTTTTTTTTTTTCTCAAATTCTCCTCTAGATCTTTATTCATTTCTCTATTCATTTTTACTTCATATGAGAGGCAGAGGGAGAGAGAGAGAAAGAGAGAGAGAGAGAGAGAGCGAGAGAGAGCTTGATCTCCCTGCTGGTTCACTTCCCAAATGCCTACAACAGCCAGAACTGGGCCAGGCCAAATCCAGGATCCTAGAACCCAAGTACTTGAGCCATCAGTGCTTCCCAGGGTGAGCATTAGCAGGAAGCTGGATTGGAAGTGCAGCTGCGACCTGAACCAGGCACTCCCACAGGGGATGCAGGTGTCCCAAGCAGTGACTTTAACGACTATACCAAATATCTGCCCTTTTGTCTGATTTCTTTTTAAAAAAAAAGTCATTTTCCTGAAATATTTATTTTACTTATATTTAAGACACAGTTACAGACAGAGAAAGGGAGAGATAGAAGGAGAATCCCCCACCTGCTGGTTCACTACCCTAATGGCTGCAATGGCTGGTTGAAGTCAGGAGCCAGGAGCTTCTTCTGGGTGTATCACATGAGTGCAGGAGTCCAAGCACTCGGGCCATCTTCTGCTGCTTTTCCAGGCACATTAGCAGAGAGTTGGATTGGAAGTGGAACAGTTGAGACTTGAAGCAGCGCCCATATGGGATGCCAGTGCCATAGGTGGAGGCTTAACCTACTACACCACAGCACTGGCCTCTGTCTGATTTCTGAATCATATCTCAGTTGCTAATATCTGCCCCCAGGTCCCAGTAGTGATTCTGAGCCTAACAGTCAGTACAGAACAAAATCTTTTTTCAAATTGGTGTAAAAAAAGATTGATGTGCAATAAAAAAAAACAATTATATAGAAAGCATATACATTCTTGTCAATCAAAAAATTTTAAAAGGACAAAAAATATACACCCCTTAAAACCCACCCAAAATGAGTCAGCCTATGGAAAAAGGAGCTCACTCTGAATATGCCTTCAGTATTTATTGACTGCCTCCTAATGCCACACATTTTTGCTAACACTAGGGATACAAGAGTGAAGGAATAAGACAGGGGCCAGCACTGTGACTCAGTGGTTTGAGCTACCACTTGCAGTGCCCAGCATCCCATGTGGGCACCGGTTCGAGTCCTGGCTGTTCCTCTTCAATCCAGCTCTCAGTTATGGCCTGAGAAAGCAATAGAAGATGGCTCAAGTCCTTGGGCCCCTGCACCCACGTGGGAGACCTGGAGGAAGCTCCTGGCTCCTGGCTTCGGATCGGAGCAGCTATGGCCATTGCAGCCATTTGGGGAGTGAACCAGTGGATGAAAGACCTTTCATTCTGTCTCTCCCTCTCATTGTCTATAGCTCTATCTCTCAAACAAACAAATAAAATATTAAAAAAAAAGACAGACAAAATCTCTGAATTCACTGAGTTTATATTCCACTTGGTGGAAACAAAAGAAAGACACAAATATACTAGGGATGCTAAATGCTATACAGAGTATGTTAGGGGAAGGGAGACAAAGAGTGATGACCCTGTGGGTGAGTTATTTAGTACAGGTGGCATTTGACCCAATATGTGGAGAAGGAGTTTGTCTTGTGGCCAGATGGAGAAAGAGTGTTCCAGACCCAGGAAACGTGGTTGGAAAGGTCTTTGTGGTGGGCACGTGCTTGGCTATCTCGAGACCAGCACAGAGGCCAGGGTGAGTGGAACAGAGCATGGGAGGCCAGCTAGCTACATGAGGCCTCTGCAGGGGCCCTGGGGCATGGCAGGGCCTGTGAGGGGCTATTTTCTGACTCTCCGTGAGATGCACAGTTTTGGGGACGTTCTGAGTAGAGGTATCATGTGACCCAACTCAGGTTTCAAAGTGATACCCTGGCTGCTCTGTGGACAATAGACTGGAAATGGTGGTAGGTGCCACAGAGAAGCAGAGAGAAAGAGAGTGTTCTGCCATGGGTTTCAGGCTGAAAGAGTTGTGTCTGAACCTTAGTAGTCTACAGTATTGGCCCAAATGAGAGGAATCTCTGGGCCATATTTAGGAATGACTTATTGCTAGAGGCTTTAACTATGAAAGAGAGGTCAGAGAAATTCAAACTCAAAGTTACAGAGGCGGGATGGATGGAGAAATGTGATTCAGAATGCTTTTTCAAAAATGTATTTATTGGAGAGGCAGGAAGAGATAGATGGAAAGAGAGATAGTGTGTGCCCATACACTGCTGTCTCACTCCCCAGTTGCCCACAGATGGCTGAATGCCTACAGCCGCCGAAACCAGGAGTTGGGAGCTCAACCCAGGTCTCCCACATGAGTGGCAAGAACCCAGTTACTTGAGTCATCACCTGCTGCCTCCCACAGTCTACATTAGCATGAAGCAGGAGATAGGAGCAGCTCCAGAGATCGATCCCAGGTAATATGATATATGGTGCAGGCGTCTTATTGGATGTCTTAACCACTAGTCTACCCTAGGAAGGTTATTTAATAAGTACTAATAGTAAATGGGAGTAAGAAATTCTGGGTCCTATTGCACAGTAGGGTGCCTATAGATGACAATGTACTGTATATTTCTCTTAAAGAAAACGAAACTAGAAGAAAGGATTTTAAATATCCTTTACCATAAAGAAATGTTAAATGTTTGAGAATACAGATATGTCAACCATATTGATATTATACAACATATACATGTATCAAAGTACCTCATAAATATGTGCACTTTTTATGTCAGTTAAAATTTTAAATAATATTTTTAGGGGCTGGTGCCGTGGCGCAGTAGGTTAATCCTTCACCTGAGGCACCGACATCCCATATGGGCGCCAGTTTTAGTCCTGGCTGCTCCTCTTCCAATCCAGCTCTCTGCTGTGGCCTGGGAAAGCAGCGGAAGATGGCCCAAGTCCTAGGGTCCCTGCACCTGCATGGGTGACCAGGAAGAGGCACCTGGCTCCTGGCTTCGGATCGGCGCAACTCCGGCTGTTGTGGCCATTTGGGGGGTGAACCAACGGAAGGAAGAACTTTCTCTCTGTCTCTCCCCCTCACTGTCTGTAATTCTACCTCTCGAATAAATAAATAAAATCTTTAAAAATATATATTTTAAAACTTTTTTTAAAGCCAGGATTTATATTATTTTATTTGAAAGTCAGGGAGAGGGAGAGACACAGAGAGAGAGGAGAGAGACCTACCCACTGGTTCACTCCCTGAATGGCCACAAGGACCAGGGCTGGGCCAGGCCAGAACCGGGAGCCAGGAACTTCAGCCAGAAGTGAATGCTGAGCAGCTTATGGGCTGCTCCACACTGCCGGCCCCTTAAAACTTTCTTAATATCCTTAATGTTAAAAAAATTCTGTGACTGTTTCTACTTCCTAAAGTAATGAAAGTAAGTGTTCTTTTTTTTTTTTTAGACTTATTTTATTTATTTGAAAGACAGAGTTACAGAGAGAGATAGAGACAGAGAGAGAGGTCGTCCTCCCAGATGGCCCCAACAGCTGGAGCTGTGCCGATCTGAAGCCAGGAGCCAGCAGCTTCTTCCAGGTCTCCCACGTGGGTGCAGGGGCCCAAGGACTTGGGCCATCTTCTATTGCTTTCCCAGGCCATAGCAGAGAGCTGGATTGGAAGAGAAGCAGCAGGGACTAGAACTGGCACCCATTTGGGATGCCTGCCTTCAGGCCAGGGCTTTAACCCACTAGTCACAGCATATACACTGTGCCCCATATAATTGCTCTTAATTCTTATATGACTTGAATTATTAACTGGGATGTGATCTGAATTATTTAGCCAGTTCTCAATTGTTAAAAGAAGCAAAAGATCAAATCCTTAGGTTTCTATAGAAGTTAATGGTAAAGTAGGGTACATTGCAATCAGAAAAGTTGAACTCGCTCAGAAATATAGTCTTCTCTCAACATACAAAGAAGCACAAGTTACAGGACTTGGAAAAGATCATTCTTTGTAGATGAAGAAACAGAGACCAGAGAGATAAACTGGCCAAGTCCCATAAACTCACTGAGCTTGGAACAGCATTTTCAGTTCAGCCTTTTGCCTCCTCCTCGAGCTTCATCCTCCTGTACTTTATTTGTAACATTTTGTAACATACTAGAGGTTTCAAGCACATCATTCAGAGCTCCTGGCATGAAGAACCCAGACTTCTTCATTTCTGCAGCACCTAACATGACCTGGCCCCGTGCACACCAGCCTGGCCTGGCAGCTGTCTTCCTTGATCTCCTTTCTCTGTCTCACGCTTGAGCCCTGCACAAGCCCCTGGGAATTGTAGTTTCTGCTCTGACGGCTCTTCTGTGCCTGCCTGTGTTTTATCCGCTCTCTCCACAGAGAGGGAGGGGCTAAACAGATAAGTTCTGGGTGTCTGAAGGGTCTGAAGCACCCCTAAATGTTTCATTTTATTCCTTCACCCAAAGGATTTGCATTTTCAGGTCTTGGGGTTTAAAAATGTGACTGTATTCTCCCATTACTTTATTTATAGTTACTCATGCATTTGTCTCCTGAGGTGGGAGCCCAGGATGAATTTTAGGGTCAAAAATTCAAGGGTTGGGGGTGCTGGTGGGGCCAGTGTTGTGATGCAGTGGGTTAAGCCACCACCTGCCGTGCTTCCGTCCCATGTGGTCACTGATTTGAGTCATGGCTGCTCCACTTTTGATCCAGCTCTCTGTTAACGAACCTGGGAAAAGCAGCAGAGGATGGCCTAAGTGCATGGACCCCTGCACCAATGTGGGAGACCCAGATGTAGCTCCTGGCTCCTGGCTTTGCCCTGGTCCAGATCTGGCAGTTGTACCTATTTGGAGAGTGAATCAGCAGATGGGAGATTCTCTCTCTCTTTCTCTTTCTCTGTAACTCTACCTTTCAAATAAATCAGTTTTTTTTTAATTGCATAGGATTTGTTCTGTTATGTTGGTGATAACACAACTATGAAAAAAAATTAGGAACAAAGGCCAACTCACTTGGAAAGGTGCAAGTGAGGAGGACCCACCTCTGCAATACTGGCTTTGTCACTTTCATCATGACCTGTCTCCTGCAAGGCCCACTTTCTCAACTGTGAAATGAGGGAAGAGGAGACTGGATCTCTGCCACTACAGGGGTTTCAAATGCTCATCTGTCACAACCATTCTCACACCAGACCTTTATTTCACAGCTGCAAGCCCCGTATGAAGTCTCAATGTGCTCCGTCATACTCTCAAACTCTGGATTTCCATTCAGACCAATAAATATTTGCTAGGAGCTACCCTTGAGTTCACTGCTATGCCAGGCACTGGGAAGCAATGACAAAGAAACATAAAATGTCATTTCTTCTTTTAAAGAGAGCTAATTGGCAGAGAGGCCTGTTTGCATTCATGAGAAGTTTACATTATAGGTATTTTTTTTAAAGAACTCTGTTTTTGGTGTCTTTTTGCACTTTTAGTAATTCAAAATAAGCCTGCAAAGCACTGCTTAGGAAAACACTTAGAAGAATTCTTTAATTAATCCACCAAAATGCCTCACAATGAACGAATCAAGGCCTTCTTTGTAAATGGGGGGATCAGAGACCTGCAAAACAATTGATTCTCTTAAATATTGGACACATTTTTTTCATAGTTTCACAATCTTAATTTGTCCTATTATAGAAGGAAAAAATAAACTGCTCGGAAGCTTGCTGAAGGGTCACATGTTTCAGAATGATTGGAATCTACACTCTGAACGAAAAGTGGAATCTTTCTGTTGCAATGTTTTTCTGCTCCTCTCTGCATGTCAAAATTCTCACCATCCTCGAAGGCTGAGTTCAAACATTACATCACTCCTATTAATGGTGACTCCTTCCTTGAGATCTACATGACTGACCGTCTGCCCTGCCACACACCACTCTTCACGTCTTTGTTTGCATATTTGCCATCTTTCGCCCTGGGTGGGTCTCACCTCCTGACACTGTGTCTTGTAAGCCCTTGGTTTCCATGTGATTTTAGAGCAGTGATCTGTTGCCTTTCTCAGCTGTGCTAACAAAATCATAATGACCCAAGCAAGTTAGAAATTTCTTTCTTGTGTATGAAAGAAAGAAAGAAAGAGAGAAAGAGAGAAAGAGAGAAAGAGAGAGAGAGAGGGAGGGAGGGAGGGAGGGAGGAAGGAAGGAAGGAAGAAACTAGGATTAGCAGCGTAACTAAAGTGTCAGGAAGCAGGCTCCTCCTATCTCGTTGAGAATGATTAGTATAATAACTCCTCAGCGAGACTGTAAAAGGCAGCCACCGTGTCGTTTTACTCACCAATGTGCCTGTTGCACAGAGCACAGTGCATGATCACGTGGGCACTCATTCAATAAGCACTGGCTGGAGACCGGATGCAGTGAGGTCATAAGTGCGAAGGTCCTTGCAAACGGCTCACGGTAATTATTATTTAAAAATGAGACATCTATAGACAAAACAGAACAGAAAGCAAGTGAAGGAAGTGGTAGTCAATGCTACCAGTCAACTAGGAGGAACTGAATTTGATTCCAGGCTTCTTGGAAACAAAGTACAAAAGGAGAACATGGTCGGTTACTGAATCTTCTTTTTCTAAAGGAACAAACTTGTGAAGTCATTTGCAGAAGGCAAGTTTTCCTGGTGATTTATTAAAATGCTGTTGCCTCCCAGTTGATACTTAAGCATGACCCGATCTCTCATACTTGAAAGAGAGGAGAGAAGGAGGGAAGAAAAGAAATCTCCCTTTGCTCACCTCCAGCAGTTTTCCAGCAACCCAGATGCCTTTATGGATGCTGTGCTCTTGTCCCCCGTTCACGTTTGGGCTCACCGTGTCTGGCTTCAGCTCTCAGCATTCTAGCAGAGCTGCTGTCAGGAAGGGCGATAGCAGATTTACCGCGGCTCCATCTCTGCTTCAATCTTGATTGCAGCAGACATTTCTTAATCATCTGAAACACTTGACCTTGACGAGATCAGGCCCCACGGCTCTGTCGCACTGCTTTTTCCTATATTCCTAGGTGCTTTTCCTCGGTTTCCTGTGAGGGCTGCTCGAGCTCTGGTCTTCTATTCAATGTTGGCATTCCTCAGGTTTTGCAAGCTTTTTCTCCCCCTGTTCTCACTCCATATACTCTTATTCTTTCTTGAAAACATTATCTACTCTTATGGCTTTAATTACTCTCTGAATTCTAATGACTTCCAGTTTTGGGTCCTTAGACTAGATTACACACTGAGTTTCAAATTCAGCTATTTAACTTCCTCTTGGACAGCCCATACATACCTTGAGTTCAGCATGCCCCAGATTGAACCTATATGTTCCCCCCTCTTTAACCTTGGGTTCCCATGTGTTTGGCATCTCAGTGAAAAGCCTTACCTTCCACAGGATTTCTTAAACAGAAACTGTATCATCTTCAACCCTCTCTTGCTCTGACTCACCATGTTGCAACAAGGGCTATCAATTCTACTTCCTAAATGTCTTTCAAATCCATCTACTGATTCCTATCCCCTAGCTAAGCACATGTCCTGGATTTCTGCCAGAGCTCTTGAGCAGGCTCCCCGCCCTGAGCCTGCCTGCCTTATACTTGGTTGTCCACAAAGCAACCCAATGGATCTTTTTTTTATTTTTTAAAAATATTTTATTTATTTATTTTGAGAGGTAGAGTTACAGACAGTGAGAGGGAGAGACAGAGAGAAAGGTCTTCCGTCCGTTTGTTCACTCCCCAGGTGGCTGCAATGGCTGGAGCTGCGCCACTCCGAAGCCAGGAGCCAGGTGCTTCCTCCAGGTTTCCCACTGGGTACGGGGGTCCAAGGACTTTGGCCATCCTCTACTGCTTTCTGGGGCCACAGCAGAGAGCTGGACTAGAAGAGGAGCAGCTAGGACTAGAACCGGCGCCCATAGGGGATGCCGGCGCCACAGGCAGAGGATTAACCTGTGCCATGGCGCCGGCCCAACAGATCTTTTTGATGAAACATTCTGAACTTGTACTTGTCCTGCTTAAAACTTAACAATAGCTCTCTCTGGCCTTCAGGATAAAGTCTTAACTCCATAACATAGTTTCAAGGCTCTTTCAGATTTCACTCGTACTTACCTTCCAGTCTTTTCTCCTCTTGACCCCTAGAATCCACTGCTAATCTCCACACTTCCTGTAACTGAACTGCACCTGCTCTTAGTGGCACCTGGCTCTCAGGGTTGCATGTGCTGCATTCATCCCCACACTTCTCCTGAGTTACTCCAATTATCTTACGTTCTCACCATACAAGTAACCTCATTTGTTTTTAATAGTCAACAATACATCTACTCTGTGCCAGGCACTTATAATACAACATGGAACAAGGCACACATGGTCTCTGCCCCCACCAACTTAGTCCAAGGGGCCTTCCTTGACTTTTCAAGACTATGGTGTCTTCCGTGGAACTCTGTCTTCATGCCACATAGTGCTATCTCCAGTGCATTTGAATGGCTTTCAGACCAGGTTCTAAATCAGAGTTAGAAACCTCTTTCCATAAGAGGAGAGATGACAGAGAATAAATATTTTGGCTTTCTTGGACATACAATGTCTGTCAAAACTGCTCAACTCTGCATTTGTAGATCAAAAGCAGCTGCAGACAATATATAAGTAGATTGGTTTTCAATAAAACTTTATTTGCAAAAGCATATGGTGAATGAGATTTGGCCTTTTGGCCATGGGTTGCTGACTCTTGGTCTAAACAGCTAAGCTAGGGGTCGGCGCTGCGGCACAGTGGGTTAAAGCCCTGGCCTGAAGTGCTGGCATCCCATATGGGCGCTGGTTCTAGTCCCGGCTGTTCCTCTTCCGATCCAGCTCTCTGCTATGCCTGGTATAGCAGTGGAGGATGGCCCAAATCCTTGGGCCCCTGCACCTGTGTGGGAGACCCAAAAGAAGTTCCTAGCTCCTGGCTTCGAATCGGCACAGCTCCAGCTGTTGCGGCCATCTGTGGAGTGAACCAGCGGATGGAAGACCTCTCTCCATGTCTCTACCTCTCTCTGTAATTCTGTCTTTCAAATAAATAAAATAAATCTTTAAAAAAAGTAAACAGCTAAACTAGGAAGATCTTATTTATCTTGAACAGTATGCACAAGCATAGTATTTGAAATAGAAGCTTTCGATGTAAGTTAATTGGATGACCGAGTGAATGGTAAATGAGAAGGTTAGGATGGATGTTAAATTTTTTTTTCTTCTGTGGCCGTGTCTCCATACTCCACACTCATTCTGCATAGTCAGTGACATCCCCCCCCCCCCAATACACACACTCCTGGCCCCTACGGAAGTGTTTAATTCATAAAGTGATTGGTGTGTATATAGTTGTATTCATTCCTTTGGGTCTATAAGCATTTATTTCAGTCAGCTTACAATCTTTCTGGAGCAGGCAGGATACTGCTGGAAAAAATTGTTAGTGCAATCGAGGCTGAAAGTCCTTATCGTGCACAGGGGACTGGAAGTTTCAGTGTGCAGAGGGGACAAAGATAATTCAGGTAAGGTATTGTCACTATAGAGCTTAGATTTTAGATAAGAAAGTGAACAAATGCTTACAGCACAATGGAGAAGGTCTAAGTCCTTTGATTGAGGAAGCAGCAAAATGTCCTAAGACTTTTACAGGCAGTAAAATTTATCTTTGGTCGAAGAGATAAAAGACTCGGAAGAAGAAGGATTTGACCTGGAAGTTGGAAGGCAGATTTGGAATAGTGATAGGACACTAAAGGTCCTTCCAGACAGGGAAAAGCAAAGGCACACCCACCCGTTACTAGAAAGCAAGTTTTAATGAAGCTGCATCCAGGGACTGGCTGATAAAAGTGAAGCCAAATCCCTTTAAGAAGGTGCCAAGTCCATTCCGGTCTGGAATGCATTGATAATTAGGACATTATGCTCAGAGACTGCAAACTGACATTCTGTCGTCATCCCCCTTGGAATAGAAACTCTGAGCCTTTAAAGTAATTAGCACCAATTTGGAGTGTGTGTGCAAAAATAAATCACCAGTGTCCAAAAACAGATACGTGAAGTTCAATGGTTATGAGGCACACGTTCTTATTAGCTCCACCTACCTAAACAAGATCAAAAGTGATCAGCATTTAAAAATAGAAGAGACAAAGGCAGTTCATGGTTCCCAGTGGAAAATTATTATTTATCTAAAAGTCCACAGTGATAATTTTGCACTCACCCTTCCAGATCTCAGCTGTGTTGCTTCGATGGTTGGAAGATTGGTTTTCTTTCCTGAGGGTTAGGAGGGAGAACTGTGATTCTATGCACGGCAAGTGCCTTTGAAACTGAAAGGTGAGTGTCCTGTGCTGAATAAACAAGTATCTTCATTCCATTTCCTCCCCACTACTTCTTCATTGTGTCTCATCCATGCTCTTCCGGTGAGAGGACAATTTGCTGTGTCTCATGAGTATCAGCCAAAACCGCTCCCAGAAATCCGTTTGCGTGCAGCAGGGTTGGCCTTTGCCATGCGGACACCTGGCTGCTGTAGAAAGCCTCAGTGGCCCACTTGAAGAAGGGTGGCCTTTGGCCACTCTGACGAACACCCCAGTGCACACTTCGAAGTGGTCCTGGCTATCTTCTCTAGAACCTATTGTATCTCGGCCAAGGATGGAGCCTTCCTGTTGGCAGGAGGTAGCAGAAGGGGGACAGAGGTGGGGACACGGAAGCTAATGAGGTGGTAGAGAACACTGGCCAGTGGCTCAAGAAGACCGGGCATCCCAGCTGTGCCAGTGCCTTGCTATGCACACTTGGCCAGGCCACTTGCTCCTTCTGGGCCTCAGTTTCCTCATCCTTTAAATGAGGGACTGAACCGGGTCATTTTCTTACTCTGTAAGAAGGTTTTTTTACCCTATTAAAGATAGAACTGAAGACTTTTATCTGTCACATGCCACCCACTGGCTTGGAAGGATGTGACAAATGGCATGTTGGGGCTCAGACATTTTTTTTCTAGTCCCTATTTATAAAATGAGTGCACGTGTACCCCACCCTTCCTTCCTGAAAGATCATGGCATTAGGAAGCCTGAATAGACATCGAGGATACAGAAAGTCGGGTTGGCAGGGTCATGGCAGAGCTCACCACTTGGCCGTCAGTCCAAAAAACAGAGAGCCTGGAGTTTAACTGGGGACAAAGGAGAAGGCTTTGCTAAAAGTTGCATCTGGGAGGCAAATTCTGTTTCTACTATATTTTTCTTGTTCTGGCTATAGGATGTCTAAACTTGACCTAGGGCCTGGGGATCGATGAACATGAATCTACTTTGAGTAAAAATTGCAGTGGAGTTGTGTGGAGGTGTGCGGTAGGTTAATCTTTAACTATAAGCTTCTGTTAGGGCTTTACTTATTTTTCATACCCTTTCCCCCAAGGTATTATTTTTCTCTTGTAATGATACCAGTCACTTTGACTGCTTTGTACATACACCAGTGGTTGGGTTTTAGGTGTTGTGTGTTTTGTTTTTTTTTTCCCCTTCTTTCTGCAAAAACTTAAGACTCAGCTAAAGTAGCTCCTTCTCTGGGTAACTTCCCATCTACCATGGGCAATCTATATTCCATATTTTGTCCATTTTTTCCTTAGCAGTTACTTTAAGCTACTTTAGTTCCCCGGGGTGTGGGTCCATCTTTTCTGTAACGCTCTAAGTTTTTGGAGAACTAAGAACATCTCTGTATACATAGTTCCAAGGCCAGGAATGCTCCTTGTGCATGATAATTGGATAAAGGAATGGAAGGAAGAGGACCTTCATCAAAAGCCCAATTGTGGCCTACAAGCCTTTGAGAGTAATACAAGCTTAGCCGTGCCCTTTGCTTCATTAGGGATCAAGAATCAGGAAAGGTCAAAGAATGGACAGACCTGTCTTGGCTGCATTGGAGTTCTTGTCTTACATCTTAATGGCTGGGAGTTCCTAACACTCATCCCTGACTGCTCATGGGTGGCCTGAGTACTCAGAGGTTCTGCCCAGGATCAGCAGATGGGGAGAAAGGGCAAGAAGGCAATTTGTAAACTTGGAGTTGCCAGTCTCAGCATGAGGGCCTCCCAGAGTCAAGACTGGCTTTGGCTGGGGGCCTAGATCTATTCTCTGGGCATCAGCATGGGTCAACTTGGCCATTCGGAGGAGGACTTTGTAAGGAGCAGATAGATGCTTGGGGTGGTCCCTGCAAAGATGTTGGAAGGAGTGGGAGATAGGGTAGCCTCTTGACTTGGGCACACAAAGGATAAGAGCAGAAGACAACACAACGAGTCACCTGGTGTCTGTCCACCACTGCAGGCAGGGAGGCACAAAAGAGGGTTCAGAAATGTTGGCGACAGACATGTTGGCAAGGGGTCGGGCGATGACACAAAGTCCTCACGGGCAGGAGAAAGAGGAAGAGTGGAGCAGGGCACAGGGACAAGAGAGACAGAGATGGGACAAATAACAGTGGGAAGATGGGGTGGCAGGGAAGGAGGGACAGGTGCAAGGGCAGTAGATAGGCTGGCTGGCAGGCAGGAGGGAAGGAAGAAACAAATGTTGGTTAAAAGGAGAAAACACAAGCATCAGAGAGAAAGTTAGCTCGGGTAGGGGAGAGCGAGAAGAGAAATGGAGGCGCAGTGAGAGCGAGCTTCAGGGTAACTTGATGCACGCCCGACCTGCTCAGCAGGCGTTTTCTTCCATAAGTCGGGCCTGGGGAAGATCTATGCACACAGGAAAAATGTGCTGACTCCTGCCCAGGGCCTGCCTGAGGACAGAAGCAGATCAATTCACCTGGGTGGGGCTCTCCTGCCAGCGCTCTGTGCCTGGCTAGATCAGGCCAGGCCAGGCAGAGACGCCCAGTGACCAGCAAACTGCTGGAAGGCTGTCCATCAGCTGCAGGGCAGCGTCAGCCTTTTGACTTGAGAAAACCCCCTCCTCTGCCCAAATCAGCTCTGCAGAGCTGGCTGCCAGCTCCCTGCCAGGCCCAGCTTCGGGTCCAGTGAGACGGCACCCATTGGCCTGGGGAAATGGAATCGGAACAGGCTTCCAGGACCCTCTAGGCGCCAACGCAGCCCGGCACAATCAATTGCTGAGATAATCCTGGGGTACATTTGCAAGTGCAGCAGCAAGCATTCGGAGCAGAGTGTCCCCTCTGATCTTAACCACTGGGTGCAAGTTACAGGGGGAAATGTTTCAGCAGCAGCAAGGCCTTTGAAATCAAAGCCAGGCAAAAGCTGGATTCGTAAAGTCAGGCATTTGTTGTTTTCCTGGAGCTTTTTGAGCATCTACAACACAGGGAGCGTGTGCTGGAGGCTGAGGATACAGATAAGGGAAGGCGTTTAGTGGTGGGGTGGGAGAAGTGACTGCTCCCACTGCCCCACCTACCAGAGCAGTGCAGGTTTACAGGAAGGGCTGGGGAGCTCAGACAAGCCAGGCTTCCTGGATGGTGCCACGTGAGCACAACTTTAATGGTTGAGTGGAGACCAGGAGGCAGAGAAAGTCAAGGGATCCTGCACCGAGAAGGAAGCACAGGAAAAAAGTTAAGGATGCGTAAGTGCACAGTTAGGCTCACCTGGAGGGAGCGCAGTGTTGGACCACAGCAGGCCGGGCAGAGACACAGGTGGGATGGGAATGGGGGCCACCTAAGGAAAGCACAGGCCCAGAGACAGCTGAGACTTTGGTCAGAAGAGAACTTGCCAACCATCTGTCACCTTTATCATGATATTGTCTGTTTATTATTGAAGTTTTGTATGTGCATGTATGTGTGTGAAGTAAACAGAGCAGGGGACGTTCTACTACCAACTAAATAAGTTATTCCACTTCTCCATGAGAATCCCACTTGGATGCTTTCATGGACTGCTGTCGCTGGGCTGTGGCCTCAAGACTCATACCTTCTCTGGGTTTCCTCTACTCCCCACCCCTCTCAAGTCGTCATCCATCCTTGCCGGACTGCCCTGAGGTGTCCACTCAGCCCAGGCCCTCAGATCTACCTAGGTAAAGGTAGGTCATTGGAAACCAGTGGTCTCTTTATCCAGATCCATCCTTCGTAGAAGGCAAGTGCTAGCTTATTTGTACTGGAAGATTTCTAAAAGCATGCAAACTAAAAATAAGCCTTTCCCAGTTCTTTTTCAAAATTACATCAAGCAAGAAGCAAAAATTTCTGCAGTCTATTAACATTTGTCAATCAAGATCTTTCCCAAAGGTCAATCAACTTTATGCATATGTAACACGTGCACTCACATATGTCTAGAAAATAATATGACAAGCATGTTGATCTGTTTTTTCATTTTACAATACAACTCCTCACCTCACTTGCAGCCTAGTAGTCCATACACTAGATGCATTGTGAGCCGTTTTTCTGTTGGTAGACACTTACGATGATTCAACTTGTTTGCATTTACAAATGACACTGCCATAGATATCTCTGTACACGAATCCTTGCATACTCTTGCTCTTATCTCTGGAGTATGCATTCCTAGAGGTTAGGCCGTGAAGTCAAGCAACACGCAGATTCTTAACCTCCTAGCAATTGCATCATTCCTGTCTCCAGCTTGTGCTAGTTTGTACTCCCACTGCATGTGGAATAAGGGTGCCTCTCTCCTGCTTGCCTTCCAGCCCTGGCACCACCTCATCGCTAGACAGATGAAGGAGCAGCAAAGGGACATCTTAGTTGTCCAATAATACACACCGAGGTATTGGCAAAGTGGGGCCCAAGGTTCCAACTTTGTTGTTGCTGTACAATAAGATAAGGCATGCAAAATAGTAAGGACCTTGTTTGGTGTGCAAGACGAACCGGAGTGGAGAGAGAACAGAGAGAGGAGGCTCCAGGTGGGTCTTCCAAGGCTGTGTGTAATAAAGGCCCCTCCTCTCACTTCTCCTTGCACTCTGCGGCCGTATCCTCACATCAAGTCGAATGTGTTGAGTCGTTGTCCACCATGACACTGGCCCTGGAGGGCAAGGAAGTGAGAAGCTCTGTCCTCTGACATCAGAGACTGAGGACCTGTAGGCAAAGACCCTGTGGTCATGCTCAGATACCCAAAAGGAATTTGAAGTGATAAGCTTCCAAGGTTAAGAGTCACTCACTCAATCAGTCGCTTACTGTCTGAAAGTTACTAAGGAAGAAGAGACACACAGTTATTGCATGATTTTTTTTTTGCAAGATTCCTCCTCTCAATTAAAGTGAGAACTCCTTAAAGGAGGGAGCCTTTGAAACAAAAGATATGTATTTATTTACCACCTATATGCAATGTACCATGTGCAAAGTGAACTGGTAATATACAAAATGTGAAGGCAAGGCCCAAATTGCTTTGAAACCCCATAGGAAGGTAAAACAAAAAATCATACCTAAACATTTTTACTACCCCCTCCGCTGTGATTAGTGTGTGGAGGAACCCACAGCAGGCACCCAACACACATTCAAAGTGGGAAAAAGTCACAGGATTGATTTTTGGTGTGATTTAAAGAAATCAGTCCTTTCACTTTAGAGTCATGTGTCACAGCCAAGGAATGACTAACTCATCATGTGATTTATTTCTCTACGAGTCTACTACACCTCTGCAAAGTGAAAACCACTCTCAGAGCTACCCCGGGGCTAGACTGCTGCTGGCCTATCTACTGCACGATTCCCTGGGCATGCCCCTCATTCCTCAGCTGCAAGTTCAGATCTGGGTGTACCAGAGAGGGATGTCTGGGGGAATGGGATCATGGGAGGTAACAGCCACTGGAAGAATTTGGCCCCAAAGCCAAGGACTCCTCAATCAATATGCATGACTTTCAGAATTCCTATTTTAATCAGCGAAACGGAAATGAAATTCCCAATGTAGCTTTTAGTTAAGAAAAATAAATTACAAGTGGTATATGATATTCATGCATACCATTTCCTCTGAAATTCTTTTTAAGAATTGAAGAAAATAACCATATAACATACTGGAAAGAACACTAGCTTAGGAGTCCAGAGTTTTAGTTTCATGCCCTAAAATTATCACCTGGTGACTATGTGATCCAAAGTCTTAAGTTCCCCATCTAACCTCTTTTCACTCATGTATAGAAGGAATTTTTTTTTTTAAGATTTTATTTATTTATTTGAGAGGTAGAGCTACAGACAGTGAGAGGGAGAGACAGAGAGAAAGGTCTTCTGTCCGTTGGTTCACTTTCCAAATAGCCATAACAGCTGGAGCTGCGCCAATCCGAAGCCAGGAGCCAGGAACTTCTTCTGGTCTCCCATATGGGTGCAGGGGCCCAAGGTCTTTGGCCATCTTCTACTACTTTCCCAGGCCATGGCAGAGAGCTGGATTGTAAGAGGAGCAGCCAGGACTAGAACTGGTGCCCATATGGGATGCAGGTGCTGCAGGCAGAGGATTAACCTACTGAGCCACAGCGCCAGCCCCTAGAATGACTGTTGATGACTTGTAAGCCCCTAGTTCAACTCCAGTGATAAATGAGTTCATACTTCCCGAATTAATGCTGAAGACCCACCATCCATTCATCCTCTCCACAAATATATACTGAATTCTTACTTGGGTAATATCCATGTGATTTGAGTCCTCTGCTCTGAATTGATTAGTTGGTGGCATCATTATGGTTCCAAACACCCAGACTCAAAATCTGTGGTGATTCCTGACTCCTCTCTCCTGCCCTCCTCATATTCAATCAGCTCCTGATGACCACTCTCTCTCTACATCTATTTCTGGTCCATCCTATACCCTCCTTGCCCACTCCACTGCTCCTTCCCCAGCTTCATCAGTTTTCACTTGAGCTGTTGCAAAAAATTCTAAGGTTTTCCAGCCTCAAGACACTTCCTTCCCAAACCACTATACTTGCTATTTCTAGTGTTATCTACAATTGTTCGTTTTTTAAAAAGATTTATTTATTTATTTGAAAGGCAGAGTTCAGAGAGGCAGAAGCAGAGAGAGAAAGAGAGACAGAGAGAGAGAGAGAGAGAGTCTTCCATCCAGTGGTTCACTCCCCAGATGGCCGCAACAGCCAGAGTTGGGCCGATCCGGAGCCAGGAGCCGGGAGCTGGGAGCTAGGAGCCTCTTCCGGGTCTCCCATGTGGGTGCAGGAGCCCAAGGACTTGGGCCATCTTCCACTGCTTTCCTAGACCATAGCAGAGAGCTGGATCAGAAGTGAAGCAACCAGGACTCCAACCGGCACCCATATGGGATGCCAGCACTGCGGGCAATGGCTTTATCTGCTATGCCACAGCACCAGCCCCCAATTTTTCATTTTAATCAATGTTTTCTGAAGGTTTGTTCAATGCCAGTACAGAGCTGAGAGTCCAGAAAGAAAGAGAGACCCACTGACAGATGAGAGCAGTAGTGTGTGGGATGACAACAGTGGAGAGGGAGGGTGATCCGCTTCTTCCTTTCTCATAAAGCTGTCCTCCCATATTGTTTCCTGTTTTATGTTTCTGGCATCTCATTCATCACATTCTTCTGCAGATCACTTTCCTGTTACTCTGCTCACATCTTGATGGTAGGGACCGGACAAATTCAAGCCATCTTTCCCAGAAACCTCCAGTAGCTCCCTTTTGCCCTCGGGGAAGTCTTAACCTTTTCACTGGGCATTGAGACTTTAGTTCTATCTTTCCAGTTAGCTCTACTAATCAGCCCATATTCAATACAACCCAACCCTAAACCCTCTACCTTTTATGTCCACGTTACCTCTGAAAGCTCACCCTTCAGCTATACGACAGTGACTACATCCAAACTCACCCAGGCACTGCCTTTGGGGTAAGCCATTCCCTCTTCTGGGAAGGTCCAGTTCACTCTCATTTCCCTCTTCCTTTGCCTGCAGGGTCTAGTTTAAATTCTATCCCTTCTAAGAATGTTTGTGGAGAGCCAGATCCGCCCATTCGAAATTCATTTTCACCTGCTCACTGCTGCTTCTCACAGTAAAGACTTTATTATTCATCGTAGTCTACTTTTTGCAAAGGTTTTATAATCCTTGAGAGCCTTGGGAGAGGTTGTCCCATGTCTTTTGATGTGGGATTTTCCACAATAAGAAAACTGAAGATCTGATCCAGTTAACTCTACGAAGAGCAGTTGCACATGTCAGGTACTGCACAAGATGTGTGACGATTCATCCTCATAACAGACCTTGAAACTGAGCACAAGGCCCCAGCAGGTGAGACTATGTAAGTTTGAACAAGATGCTGTTAACAACCAGGCTACTCTGCTTCTCATCAAGGGGCCACCAGGACCCCTGTTGAACGGTTTTGCTGCCATTTGGAGAAAAGGCTGAAGATGCCTTCAAGCGGCACTTCCTGACTGCCTAGGGAGATTTCCAAAGGTTTTATGAAAAACTTGGTATCTTATCTTATCCCTAAAGACTGAACAGGAATTTAACAAAGGAACAAAAAAAGATATTCTAGTAAGAGAACAAATTTTGAAGTAAGTCTCCCATGGAGTGGGGGTGTTTTTGAGAAGATGAGAGCTGTCTACTGAGTCACTTCCCCATGAGACAAGCATCAAGGGAAGGAAGCAGCTTGCTCAGTGCTGTATTCCTTTTGCCCACAGCAGAGTCTAATGCAGCGCACATGCTGGAGAAACACTGGGTAGAAATTAACCTCAATATATACCACCTAAGCAGTTAGCTATGAATATGCCGTTTTAAACTCACTCTTGGCCTTGAATGCCAATGAACGCCCTAGTTGTCTTTATAAAGGCTTTAAAAGCCCAAACTCAAACCTGTAGACCCTGAAAGTGAAACCTCCAGTCCCTAGAAAGTTTCACTGGCCAACCCAGTTTCACTGACTGGCTGCGTAAAAAACAAACATTAAAGCAACTGAACAAGCTATAAAAAATGAAATTTTTAAAACTCAGTTCCAAGAAACTCAGTTATTTTCAGTAATGTGCCTCCTGCTGGAAACCGAAGGGCTTCGATGATGTCAGTTTCATTTCCAACAGAGAACTTTCCCTCCTCTCCCCTTGGAGAGAGAGTGAAAGCCCCTCTGCCAGCAGCCGTGCCATGGGCATGGCAGAAAGGGAAGACATAAAGGGAACTGGGGCAGATCAAGGCGCTTCCTCTCACGGCATAGGGGCCGTTTCAAACCTTCTCGCTTCCTATCAGAAAAGCCATAAGCAACTCTGTGTCTGGGCACACTCACAGCACCATAGTTGTTGAATCTGTGAGCTGGGAATCAGCTCAAAGCAGAGCTCTTGCGAAGGGACCAGAGCATGAAGGAGAAAATCTGCTCAGCTTGGGGCGGGAGGAAAGTCTTTTCCTTCTCCACCGTGGAAGAGCTGGGTGACCATGAACAGTTGTTTCTTTTCTCTGGGTCTAAGTTTCCCCTTCCAGCTCTCACACATTTGGCAGTTCTTCATTTAGTAGAAGGGGAAAAAAATGCTTGCAACACAAAAATCTATAGTTGGTTTTAAGAAGGAGACATTTGGGTGGGCATTTGGTTGACCTAGCAGTTAAGATGTCTGGTCCCACATAGGAGTACCTGGGTTCAACCTGCCTCCAGCTTCTTGCAGTATAGACCCTGGGTGGCAGCAGGTGATAGCTCAAATAATTGGATTCATGCCATTTATGTGGGAGAACCGAGTTCCTGGCTCCCTCCTTTGGTCCAGCCCATTGCAGGCATCTGGGGAATGAACCAGCAGATGAGCACCACCTTCCCTCAAATAAATAGGTTTTTAGAGAGCTTTCTTTGTGCATGAGAATCTGGGAAGTAGAAGGTTTTTCTTTCCTCCAAACCAGAGTTTTAGAACCTTGGAACTGTAGACATTCTGGGTGAACAATTCTTTGTTTTAGGGGGATGTCCTGTGCGATGTGACTGTCTTGCAGTACCTCTGACTTCTATCCCCAGATACCAGGATACCCACTCCCCAGATGTGACAACCCAAAATGTCTCGACATTACCATAAGCTTCCTAGGAGCAAAATCACCCCATGCTAAGAACTACGGTGAGTCAGCTGCATTCCCAATCAAACTGAGTGAATTCTTTAGAGTAATGCAGCTGAGGGTAGACTTGGGAAAGGATGGGAGTTGGGCACGGCAGCTCCCTCCATTCTCACCCACCTGAGGACGGGGTGGCCCAGAGAGCTCAGGACAGGTAGAGGGGCATGAGGTCTGGAGGCAGCAAAGCTCACCTGAGTCCATGCGTTATTGTTGGCTGGCTCTGACACCTCCGCCACACTGCTTGCCTTCTTGGTGCTTCCGGGTCCCCTTGAATCTGAAGGGTGTAACACCCCTGTTGCATGAATCATCCTCCTCCTGCCCTTTCCCAGGGAGGACTAAAGGTAATGTGTATAAAAGACTGTAAGCTGGAAAGCACAGGAAAAATAAGTGATGGGCCTAAAAAGAATTGTTTTTTCTTCTTGTATTCCCTGAGAGAGCAAAGAAAACAACTTCATCCCTGAATAACTTTTCCGCCAAGCGTGGCAAAGATGACATCATAACAGGTACCACCACAGCAGTAGTGCAAACAAACGTTGTTGAACACTCTCGGAGGGACTGCTGGGTACCAGCTGCAGGGCTAGACCCCACTGGCCTGTGAGTCAGTTTGCATTTCTTCAGCAGACATGAAAGTCCCCAGAAAGGGAGGCATCATGGTAATGAGCAAGGGTAGTTCACACACCCAGTAGCAAGTTGGCCCTGTGCGGCCTCTTTCTTCAGCATGGCTATCACTCTGGAAGATGTCTATGTGGCTCATGTCTTTAGCAACTGAGAACTTGGGAACCAAGAAAAGCTTCTGAATGCTGGCCATTTCCTCCCCGTTGGCATTGGGGAGCTCTGCTCACAGCCAGGCCTAGGAGGATGGCCCTTTCACAGCCCGAGGCGGAACCCCTGGTTTGAATGGCACACTGGGGTTCTGGGAGTGTTCCCACGAACAGTGACAGTCTGGCAGAAAGTTGAGATGCCGGGTCAACAGCCTGGTGGTTGTCGGGGAAGCTCAATGGGCTCAGACACAAACTACAATTTGAGACCAGAAGCCTCTGGGATCCCAGGGTCAAGTACAAGTTGGAGGGAAAAATATAACTCACATTTGCAAGTGCTTTGGTTTATTGACTGTGTTTTCATCCTTACGGTAGTATAGAAAAGTGGTTAAGGCATTTCTTTTTTCATTTACTGCCTTTTTTAGATTTATTTATTATGAAATTCAGAGTTACACACACAGAGAGAGAGAGAGAGAGAAAGAGAGAGAGAGAGAGAGAGTTCTCCTATCTGCTGGTTTACTCTCCAGATGGCCTCAATGGGCAGTGCTGGATCAGGCTAAAGCCAGGAGCTTCATCCGGGTCTCCCACATGGATGGCAGGGGCCCAGACACTTGGGCCATCTTCTGCTGCTTTCCCCAGGCCATTAGCAGGGAGCTGGATCAGAGCAGAGCAGCCGGAGCTCAAACTGCACCCACGTGGGATGCGGGTGTTGCAGGTGGCAGCTTTACCTGCTATACCACAACTTACTTCTGCGCCCTGGGTGTGTACCCTGGCTCTGCTCCTTGTTCTTCTGTGACTCTGGGCAACCAGGTGTTATGAAAACATCAGCGATGCTACCTGATGTGCTACTGATCCGCACAGCCACCTCTAGGTCCGGGGTGTGATCACCTTCACGTTGCAAGCAAATGTAGTTGAGACAAGTGCATCCTCACACAGCACGCCCACGCCCCTTTGCTCTACCATTCCTTTTAGGTCACTCTGCCTTCTCTCTCTGCTATCTAAATGCCATCTGTCCCTCGAAGTCTGCTCCGATGCTACCTCCTCAATGTCTTCTGCCTCCACAGTCGAATTAATCTCAGCTTCCTCCAAGCCCCATCCATGGTATTTTGCTGTTATCTCTATTACACTGTGGCACCCACATGGGCCTAATAGTCTCAAAAAGACCCAAGATAAGAACAAAACACACTGCAGAGTGTGATAAAGGCCACCGAGAGAGGCAAGGGGGAAGCATTGAGGAAGTTCAAAGGCAGACAGGTCTCCTCCTCTGCCTCTCTCATCTGGAGTCATTATCCCCCGCAGTACCTGTTACAGGTGCTCCCAGTTTCTCCCATCTGGCAGTCAGGATACATCACGGTGCATTTGAAAGCCCTCACCACACTGTGGCCCCCCGCCAAAGCTAGCTCTGTGTTTGCTGTCTTCCTTGCGGGACCGAGCCACGTGGGTGGAGGGGCAGCTTGGATTCACTTCTGCATGGCCACAGCACACAGAGGGGGAGGGGCCAAGGTTGTCAGTGCTCCCGGAACGCCTATGGCTCTGAACTGAGACGAGCTTGCTGACGGTGGGCGACGGTGATGATGGCGAAGATGGCGATGGATGACGACGGAGATGAGGTTGATAACAAGGAGCTTATCTGAACCGAAACCCAGCCGTCACGCAGGGTGGTGTGCTCACGACATTTCGCTATGACTGAGTGAGCAACAAGATATCCACGAATCAGACCCAGTAACCTAGCCCACTTGTTTGCTGGCAGACTGCAAAGAAAGTGGAAACTGGAAACTGGAAAGGCGTAGAGGTGGGGACTGCCTTATCAGCCGGAGCCCCTCCTATAGAGTAACGCAGAGGGCGTGGCGTGTGGAAACTGTCTTCCCGGAGTTGTTTAAAATCTGTAACTTTTCAGGTTGTTGTAGAGGCTCCATTTATTATTATTCTCATTGGAGAAGAGGTAAAAAAAAAATCCGAAATTATAGATAAGAGTAGGAATGTCAATTACAGGGAGTTGAATACTATTAAAGTTATTGCAATCTCCTTCTCCCACCTGTCTGAGTTTATGTAGCTGAGCTCATACTGATCCTGCATGTTACAAAATATATTTGATTTATTTATCATCTCGATAGCACACATAGAAGGTGCAAAATTCCCATGGTACAAAAGGACAAGCAGTGAAGACCAGGTTGTCTCCTCCTGTCCTACCACGCAGCTAGCCACCAGTTTGCTCCCAGCCTCTCGTAGAAGAGTGCTGTGCGATAGCTGACACTATGCGTTGTGGAGAGAGTTAATGGCCCTTATCCTTCAAGGTTCTCAAGAACCACAAATTGCCTGTGAGAAGGAAACAAGTCCCTCATGCAATGCATCTGTGTGGCTGAACGACTGTCCTATTACCTCCATGCCAGTTACATGACAAAGTGATACAAGTGCGATGCTTCCTCTAAAGACTCAACTCTCTGGACAACAGCAGTTGGAGGTACCCAGCCAGGACATTCTCCCCTAACAGGTCTCCTTCCCAAAGACTTCCCCAAATGCTCTTGGCACACACCTGGGGCTCCCAAAGCTCAAGAATGCAGAGATGGGGGACAGCCGTCCCTGCTTTGCCGTGGCCCAGGCCCAGCCCCAGGGGCAGAGCTCTCCTCCCCAGATCAGAGCTGGCAGGCACTTCCTCATCCTGTTCTGCCCTAGCGTGCTGGGGGCAGGGTAGCAGCCCTGGGATGGGTGGGTGGGGGAATTCCAGTTCAAATGAAGCAGTTCAAAGAAAGTCATTTCCATAAAACCTTGCTTAAAATGGAGAGAGCCATTTCTATACTTACCCAGCTCCAGCCTCCTCATAGCAGCCCTCTTAAGCCCTCCACGCACGCACATAGAGAGGCAAGCGAGCGGGATCAGGGCCTCGCTGGGATCCTGCGCCGGGCATGCGCGTGCCGCCCCGCTGCTGCCGCGTCGTCGCCAGTCTTCCTGCCCAAGCACTCACCGCCCACCGCCACCTTGGGCATCTTGTCTTGAGTAGGCAGAGTCAGGTTTTCAGGAATCCGCCACAGTTTGGAAGTTTATTTACCAGCGAAGTGATTTCCCTCCCGGCTCTGCCTCTCCTCCCAGTACCCATCTGAGAAAGTCACAGAAGGCATCTGGGATTCACAACACCCCCCCTGCCAGCCCCCTCTGAATAACACGGCGTCTGGCAACAGGAGGCGTCTGATTACATTCGGGTGGAACGCAGGCATCAACTCCAGTTGTCTCTGGATCGCAACGGATGGGCCTCACGTGCTGCAGCCAACAGTTTGCCTGCACCCACTCCCCTCTCCGCAATGAACCTTTCTCCAGGAAAACAGGAAACCTACGTGCCATCCCGGGTGAGAACAAACAGGAGCCGCGCCGGGGTGTTGCATCCCCGGGAAGAGCAGGCAGTGAGAAGCCTGCAACCATGAGCCAGGGCCAAGCCTCTCCGGAGGGAACCTCTGAAGCAAAGGGCCCAGTGCCCTGGGAAGTGCTGTGGGCTCCATGGTCGTTGCATGTGGCAAGGACTGAGTTCTCAGTGCATGCCGGGTAAGGCACCACGTTGCTGTCTCCTGCAGAGAACCTTCATACCCTCACTCACCACTCTAGGACTTGCCTGCTGTTCTGCAGGTGCAACCCCGGCTCCCCAAAGAGGTCCAGGTCCTAATCCCCACAACCCACCAACACACGCTTTTACATGACAAGAGGACTTTCAGTTTGCTTCGAATGACCTTAAAATAGGGACACTGCCCAGGATCATCCCAAAGGGAAGGGGAAGAGAGGAGAGTTAAGAACCCCCATCAGGACATTAGGAGTGAGACTCCCCCTGCCGCTGTTGCCTTTGGAGATGGAGAAGGGAGTTAGGTGCCAAGGCCTGCGGGCAGCCTCTACAACCTGAAAACAGCAGGAAAACCCGCTGTCTTCAATGCTAGCACACGGAGACTGATTCCAGTCTCTGAGCCCCAGAACTGTGTGGCTGCAGTAATGTTAGGAAACCAGTGCAGGCAGTTTGCCAGGCCTACTGCGTGCTCCTCCCACAGCATGTGGTGTGCGCCTTCCAACTGTCAGCAGGGCCCACCCAGGGAAACTGAGGCCACCAGGAGCATCTAAGCAGAGGGAACTTAACACAAGTCATTGGCTGTATGGGAGATGGAAGAAGGTGAGAAGTTCATGCTGGCATTGGCCCTAGCCATGTGCTAGAGGGACAAAGAGAGGAGCACATGTGACTGGAGACCACAGCAGAAGCTGAACCGTGGTGGGCCTGGGGCATGGAGCAGAGCCCAGCTGGAGAGACTGGCTGAGGCACGGAGGGAGAGAGAGAGGGACCCTGGCTTCTCCCTCCGCTGTGCTCAGTCTCCTGCCGTGCCTCCCAGTGGCTGTATCCAGCAAGAAGCCAGCAAGAGCCTAGGATCCTCAAAGAGCTGGCCTGGGAGGCACAAGGCAGAGCTGGTGCTGGGCAAGGAGGGATGAATGGGTCCTTCTGTTCTGCACGGGTCACGTGCGTCTTGAAATTTAACTGGTACTGGGGCCAGCGCTGTGGCGCAGTAGGTTAATCCTCCGCCTGCGGCACTGGCTTCCCACATAGGCACCAGTTCTAGTATCGGCTGCTCCTCTTCCAGTCCAGCTCTCTGCTCTGGCCCGGGAAGGCAGTGGAGGATGACCCAAGTGCTTGGGCCCTGCACCCGCATGGGAGACCAGGAGAAGCACCTGGTTCCTGGCTTCGGATCAGCGCAGCTCCCGGCCGTTGCAGCCATTTGGGAGGTGAACCAGTGGATGGAAGACCTCTCTCTCTGTCTCTCCCTCTCACTGTCTGTAACTCTACCTCTCAAATAAATAAAGTAAGTCTTAAAAAAAAAAAAAAAAAGAAAAGAAATGTAATTGATACTGCAAAATCCAAATTCTTTACCATGGCTTCCAAGAGGCCCCACTGCCTTAGCCCCTCCCTGGCTTCTCTCCCTTCATCCCAGGTGTTCTCCTCTTTCACAACACCACCCTGAATGCCCGACACACCAGGAAAGTCCTGTCTGTTATGGGATCTGCACTTGCTCAAGGTAGGCCCTGCCAAACTGCCCTCCTCTTGTCTCTCCCTTAACTGATAATCGTTCATTGTTGGTTCTCGGCTCGACTGTCCATTTAGCACAGCCCCTGTCACCTAGTCTCCATCATCAAGCCCTGTTTGATTTCCTGCATGCTTTGGTTCTGTGTTTACTTGTTTAGCACAACCTCCCCCAGACTGTTGGCTCCTTGAGGGCAAGGGTTGTTTATCTCATTTCTTTCTGTGTCCATTGCTCCTTGGAAACAGAGCAGGGCTCATTTCGAATCGCTTTAAAGTTGGGGCCACTGGGTCCCAGCTAATGGAACAAGGGTGGAAATCTGTGATGCTCCTTCCAGGCTTGGCTATGGGAACCTCCCAGTGCCTACCCCTGCATGTTTTCCCCTCCCTGTCCGATAATGACAAAGCCCCAGGGAATGGTGGGGCCACAAGATGAAAGGAACCTGGGCTCTTGTGTGACTAAGTGCACGAGAGTTGCCCCGGCAACCTGTGTACCCATCCTGGACTGTTAGATGAACAAGAAGGAACTTCTGTGTTGACTCATTCCATCAGCCTACCCTAACTGAAACAATTCCCAATGCCAAAAACAACACCTGGCGAAGCACAGTGGACTATTAGACGCTCGGCAACCATGGGTTCGGTATTGGATGTGTCTTCTTCCTGTTTTCCCTTCATTCTCTGAACTCCTTGGGGACATTCTCCAAATACTCCATGCCTCCCCCAGTACCTGAACCTCAGCAGTGGTTCAGCGGGTCTGTTTCTGTGCTCCAGGAGGGAGACAGACAATTGCTGACACAGCACGGCCTGGAAGTGCGAGTCTGAGGAGGTGAAGGTGTCAGGCTACCTGCCCAGGTTTGCGCGGCTCTCTTGGGCTTTCAAAGGCTTCTGCACTTGATCCTTGTTTATAACCACTCTGCAACGTAATTACTGTTATGATTCCCATTTTACAGATAACAAATCTGAGCGCGCAGAGGTTAAGTGTCTTGCTCAAGATCGCAGCTCTTTCAAGTGACGAGGCTGGAATTAATTCCTGATTCACAAATACTCATGGAGTGTCTACAATGGGCTAACCCCTGGTCGTAGCCTCTCTCTACAATCCTGTAGGGGCTCAGGAAACATGAGAGCATGAAGTTCTGAAGAAATCGGAATCACCTTCCAGAAGAGAACTGGGGGCCCCCTCCCCCAGGCTGCAGCTGCAGCCCCTGCTGTGTGCCGGGGAAGCGGGGTCCTGGGTGGCCTGCCAGGCTTGCCTGCAGTCAGCCAGCGCGCAGCGAGCCCCCAGCAGCTCTCCCACGGGTCCCTGCTGACGGCCCTGACGTGCGAAGTCTGCCCTTTTCCATACATTCTTTCCTCTTTCCCGTGCCAAGATTTCAGCAGACAACTCCGAGCGGGTTCCAGGCCATTTAGCCCAGTCAGAGATGTGGGGGAAAGTTCCCTCCCACTCATCCCCGAGCCCCAGATAAGCCATCAGGGTGTGAGCAGCCTGCGCAGGGGAGGGCGGAGGAGAGCTCCTGGAGGCTTGCACGCGCAGGGGCGCAGCCAGCGTCTCTGCAGCTGCCGCGTTTACCCACTGAGTGTGTTCCTAACAGGCTGCAAGGAAAGTGGGACAAAAAGCCAAGGAGGAGAACGTTCATTGTTTACACACAGCCTGGGCTGTCTCTGGCACGCTGGATTCTCTACCAGTGCAAAGAGGGCAAGCTCTGGTGTCTGAAGGGGCCAATGGCTAAGAGAGAGCAGGTGATGGGGGGGGGGGGCCTTGCAGGGGCTCAGCCTTGCCCAGCCTGGAGACGCTCCCCGCGGACTGTAAATAAATCCGGGCTGCTGTCACTGTGCAGGACGTCTCACATACCGTCCCTCTGAGGTGGGGTGAAACACAAATATGCCTTTTCATAATAGCTTTACACCTGGAGCAGCAGAGGACCGGTTTATTACCTTGGTAAACAAAAGTCAGAATTCAAGCAAAGTACAAACTTTGCCCAAGGCACTTCTGACAGTGCACCTTGTGTTTGTGAAGTGAACTCGACACAGATACCACGTGAAGCAACCAGAGGCTGCGCGCTCTCTCTCTTTTTTCCCCTCTTGTCTTATTTCCTAGGTTTAAAAGTTCATGTGTGTGTGTGTGTGAGAGAGAGAGAGAGAGAGAGAGAGGGGAGGTCACAAGAATTTACTTTGGCTCTGGCTTTTTCCAGCATTTTGAAATCATGCTGTTTAGTGTGAAAAAAATACGTGAGCCAATTTATATTGTTTTCCAGAGATAATGTGCTTCTTGCCGCTGTCAGATTGACAGGGGTTGAGAGTGGGAGACAGGGTAAACCAGTTTGGGGAACACACAAAGGAACCGGGATTGGCATTAAATCTTACTTAATCAAACACTAAAAAATAATAAATATTTATCCAGTGCTGATTTTGTGCCAAGCGCAGAACCATGACCTTTCGTCAACACTATTCCACCAAGGCTTCGTGACCACATGAAGTAGGGATCCAGGATCAAATGGCCCATTTCCTAGGTGGGGAGACAGGGGTCTGGTTGGTGCAATGATTCAAGCGCCAGTTTTTTGATCCAGATTTAGGCTTTTTGTCTGTCCTGCGAGGTGCACCCAGGGCCAGAGACTATGTGGCAGCTTCTCTGTTGGCTTTTCGCCTTCTGCTGCCTCATTCTCTGCCTGCCCTTGGGAGCAATAACTCGTCTTCCCTGTTCTTAGAGGCATCTTTGCCCAGAGGATTTGGAGACTAGCTGTCAGCCACCTGGTCATCTGGGCCACCTCTCACCACCCAGCACTTTCAGGCATTCCAGCACAAAGGATGGGAGAGGTGTGGAACAGGTCTCCTCTCAAAACTCACGTAGGCTTACAAGCAAAGGCCACGACAAGGCAACAGGAACAGCTCCCAGGTTTGGGTGGCTCTGCAGATGCCTCTGCCTTCTCTCGTCTCCAGCTTGAATAAATCAGATAAGCTCCAGCAAAAGCATCTGAACTTTGTGGATTCTTTTCCAAAACAAGCCTTTGAACCTGAGGAACTTTGCTCATCTCTGCGTGTTTGCTCCTCAAACGTTCAGCTGGGGCTTGCCCGTAGTGCAGCTCAAGCTGGTGAGATTTTAACTCTTTCGTCCGCCGATTAATTCCCAAGCCTCCCAAAATAAGAGGGAATTCACTGGGCTTTCTTTCTTTCTTTCTTTCTTTCTTTCTTTCTTTCTTTCTTTCTTTCTTTCTTTCTTTCTTTCTTTCTTCCTTCCTTCCTTCCTTCCTTCCTTCCTTCCTTCCTTCCTTCCTTTCTTTCGAAGTCCCTATGAGTGTGTCAGCTTGTGCCTGTCTCTACAAATGAAGGATTCCTTGAGGGAACATATTAAATTGAGCCTAGGGAGAGGTGATGTCATCAAGACATTGTGAACTCAGCAGTTTCAAGGCACCAGCACTGTGGCTGCTTGTGCTTAACAGGATTTGGGGAGGAAGCGCCGTCTCCCTCCTCCAACACCCCTTCCACCCCCATCCCCTCCCACTGATGCATCTTTAATTGCAGTGCCTTGGGGAATGCCTTTGGCTTTATTTATTGCAAGCTTTCAAAAAACTATTGGAATAGGGATCCTTAGTGCAATGCAACAGATTTCAGTTGCAAATGGATTAAACACAACTCCTGAGCTGGAGCCCCTGATTGCAGCCTAGGGGTCTCAGGGCTGTGTGACGAAGGATGCTCGCTTCAGAGACTCTGCTCTGAAAACCCAGGAGAGCCAAAGCAGAGGAATGTTAGCCCTTGCAGGAACTTTCCAGAGCAGAAGGAGACCAAGGCTCAGAGGGGACAAAGCAAGGCCGAGGCTCACCCCTCCAGCAGCAGCAAGCCTCTGTGGCTCCTGGGAGGACCCTCAGAGCTTCCCCCGTGCCGCCTTTCATACCTGCGGAAAGTGAGATTGAATCAGAATGGCCCCCTGTCCTGGCCTGGATCCCCTTCATGTGGCTTCTCCCCACTGCTTGTCTATACACGTCCAAAGAGAGATGTTTACTCAGAGACGGAAGAGCGACGAGTGGTCTGCAGTACTTCTGAAACACGGGTGGGAAGCGTTCTGCAGGGTTAAGAGACGCGAGTGCATCTTCACGTGGTTACGGCGCCAGGCAGAACAGCACTTCTTAAAACCAAATCTGCCTCCTTCCCTCCTTCCGATCTGATTCTCGTTAGCTCTTTGGATTTTCTTGTCGGTGACTAAGTTGCCACAGTGTCCCGTCCCTGGGAAGTGAAGGTTGCCCATACACTGAAGTGACCAAGAGGACACTGGACTGTGGGGGCCAGAAGCTGGAAGGTGATACTCGGCGCTGCACCCCTCAGTTTACAGATGAGTAGCAGCATGGGGCTGAGAGAGGTTGAGTGACTTACCGGGTTTACTCAGCACATTAGCCGACCGCAAACCATTGATTTGCCCAACCGTGTGGAAGAGGACTCCTCTGACTGACAATTCTGAAGCATCGCTCTATATAATAAGCAGGTGTCTTTTATGAATAATTAATGGATCATGCCCCACTCCAAGGAGCTGAACACTGACTGCAGCCTGGGCCGAATGAGCCCACGGGAATCTGTACACGGTACTCCTCGCCACCTTTTGTTTCATAGAAAGACCGGGACACAGAAGTCAGAGGAAATTTCCAAGATTGCACGATGAATCAGCAGAGGCTCTGAAGCAATATGCTGTTACTGGATGAGGGATCAAAAGACACCAATTCCAGCCTGCACACTGTCTCTGGGCGTGTGGCAGAGCTGGGATGACACTTCCCTCTGTCTCGGTTTCCCCACCCTGGAAGGGCTTTGCTGGATGACCTCTGAGAGCTTTCAGCTCTGATGGCCTCGCAGGTATAGGGCACAAGGCTTGGAGCCGTTTCGTGTCTAAAACATAATTGTGTGAAGCCGGAAGTTGACTGCCTTGATGACATACCCTTGGGGTTCTCACAGTGTAGAGGATAAATGGGTTATTACTCCAAAACTGAAAGTGTCTCTTAGCAACTCATATAAAAAATATAAAAGCTTGCTTTTATTTTTTCCATAACATTTTTTTTTCTTAAGCTCTTGGTGTCTGCACTCACTTGTCTGCTTGCAAAGGTAATCCCATACTACAACAAATACACTAATAACTGAAAATAGAAACTCAGAAATATGATTTCTCTATCACGTTGACCTATTTGAGGTAGAGTAAGAAAAATAGATAACATTTCTTGAATATATAACACAGACCGTACAGTTTATACATACAATCTCATTTAAGATCTGTAGATTGTGTTATCATACCCCTTTCACAGAAGGTGAAACTGAGGCTCAGAGACGAAATAATTCACTTAGTTTGTATACAACTGTTAATCAGTAAAGCCCAGATTTGAAATCTACTTTCCTGACTCCAGAGCTCACATTTCCTCCCATTCTAAGTGGAGTGCATAAAACATAGCCATATTGTTTGTTAGCAAAATTGTTTTTTTTTTTTCATAACAGGGAAACTAAATGAGTCAACATTTTATTGGGTGTCACAAAGAACAACACCACAACTACCTTGGGCTGTAACATCGGAACATCTTTGAAAATAGGCCCAAGACATATGAAAACAGGACGTAAGATATTAGTTCGATTTTTCCCAATGATTTAGGATAGAAAGGATACCTGTATTGAGAATTTTTTCAACCATGGAACAAAAGATCAGGTGGCTGTTCCTATGTTTGGGATTCACACAGGCATCAGACTTTTGCTTTGACCTGCTCGTGCTCATGAGGATACAGAGTGGACTTGAGAGAGCTGTTCCTCATTCAGAGTCTCCCCAAAGTGGGCAGTTTGTATAGAGTTCCCCCAAAATGTCCTATCCACCAATTCCTGAGCCTATGGGCCAGCCCAGACCGGATCCCACAAGTTCATTCATCCAACAATTATTTTTCAAAATTGTTGTATATTTTAGCAGCAGAGAGAGAGAGGGAGAGAGACAGATAGAGAGCTCTCATCTATTGGTTCACTTCTCGAATGCCCACAACAGGTAGGACTTGGTTATGTCAAACCAGAGGACAAGGAACTCCTTCCAGGTCTCCCACTTCCAGGTGGCAGGAGATCCATCACATGAGCCATCAACTCTACCTCTCAGGGTCTGTATTTAGAGGAAGTTGAAGTCAAGAGCCAGAGCTGAGAAGTGAGTCCAAGTACTACGCTGGATGTGGGCATCCTACTGGCATCTTACTAGACTAAATGCCCACTCCCATCCAACATTTCTTGATAAACTTAGCTGCTTCCAGAATGATGTGCCATGCTGCCAAGACAAATCAAATTTAACCTTGAACTAACCTTGTACACTTAACCTAGGCCAGGCCTACACCCCAGGAAAAAGCATGGGAGGCTGCATTATTCTGTCCCTGCTTCCAAGGTCCAAGAATAATCAAGTGACAAGGCAGAAAGCCACACATTTTCTGCTTTGGCTGTCACCAGAATGAAAATGACTATGGCCATTTTGTCATCCCACAATTGCCAGGAAACCAGAGAATATTAAAGTTTGAAATGACTCTAGAGATTTAGCCATCACTTCAGTTCAGTTTCTCCTTTTTACAGATGAGGTTACTGGGGTTCAGGCTGTAGAGGGTCATCCAGGGCCATTGACAGAGCAGGGGCAAGACTGGAATGTAAACTCAGGAATCCAACATAATGTCCCTTTAACTACTGTTGTCTAATTCCCTTAGTAGTAGAAAAGACATTAGCTTAGAAGGAAACAAACACAGTCTTTTTTGTTGTTGTTGACAGGCAGAGTGGACAGTGAGAGAGAGAGAGAGAGAAAGGTCTTCCATTGCCATTGGTTCACCTTCCAATGGCCGCTGTGGCCGGCACACTGCAGCTGGCACACTGCGCTGATCCGAAGGCAGGAGCCAGGTGCTTCTCCTGGTCTCCCATGCGGGTGCAGGGCCCAAGCACTTCGGCCATCCTCCACTGCCTTCCCGGGCCAGAGCAGAGAGCTGGACTGGAAGAGGGGCAACCGGACAGAATCCAGTGTTCCGACTGGAACTAGAACTCGGTGTGCCGGCGCTGCAGGCGGAGGATTAGCCTAGTGAGCCGCGGCGCCAGCCTGAACACAATCTTTAACATGAGTTTCTGAGCCAGTGCATAGACAGATCCATACTTCCTGAAACTGCAGTGGCTTATGGTTACCTTGGGCTGATTCTGCAACTTACTAACAAAACACCTCTGCTGCAACCACTACTAATGTCCTTACTACAGCTGATCTTTCTCCTGATTTGTGCATTTCCTTCAAGAATATCCCTCCCATGTCTCCTCAAGTCTAATTGTTATTTTTTCAGACCAAATTCCATCACTTCCTCTCTGGAGGTAGGGTGGACTTACAGAGGGTGAACTTAGGCAAGGTGGAACTACATTTCTCAAACTCCCCTTCCCTGCTTATTTCCTTACTAGTGTTGGGCACAAAGGACATTTTGTACAGCATCTGGAATACAGAAGTGAAGCTCCCTGTTTTAGTACTTATCATTTAGTATAGGGCACCAGATGCTGTGATGGGTCACCCATGTTGTCCATGGAGGTAGGGGGACAGTAGGTGAGCCCTCGGCTCCTCCAGTCCCACCAGCTCTCCTCTTGCAGCTCCTCTGAATCCTGAAGAAGCATGACTAGCACCATGGAGAAGGGTACCAGACTGTTCTGCAGCTCGCCATATATATATATCATCAGGTGGGGCTAGTGAGAGAGAGGGAGCTCCCCTACGTCCACACGGGATTCAGGTCATTATTGCTCTCCACCAGGCCACTCCTATTCCACTTCTGGATGGTCTGTCCTGCTGACTTCAAGTCCAGCTTCAAAGTCAGAAGCAAAAGCTTCTGCTAGATTGATGAATCAAGTCCTACCGCTGCACAGGTTAAGCCCGACAGTAGATCTCTGATTCTCTATCACAGGTTGTGGTTCTGTTTCCCTAATCAAATCCTAATTAGTCAAGTAAGGAGTCCTCGGTGGATTCCCTGGAATTGATTGTTCCTCCATTAAAGTATGCTACACCCTATGCCATCCTTTCGTAAGTGACAGGTCGCTCTCCCACTGATGGGATCACTAACATATATGGCCTGCTGACCATGGGCCAAGCACTATCCTTCTAACAACATAATGAGGTGAGAGTTGTTGTTATTATTCTTATTTTGTAGATGAGGCAATTCAGGACTAGAAGAGTTAGGCGACTAGTTCGTGCTTACACAACGTGGAAGAGAGAGGAGAATCTAGATTCCGAAACCAAGCAGTCTGGCCCCAGAGCCAGCACTCCTGTGGCAAGCTCTTCAAGGAATAAGTCTCATCTGGGAGTGAACTAGTGATTTATCTACTGAACCTGGCAGTAAAATGATTTTCTGTGAAGTTGAAGGAAGGTTGATGAAAGTGGAAGCACTAGGGCCTAGGAGCCTACTGAATCTTCAATGCCACTGTCAAGGTCTTGTCAGCAGACAGAAGAGCTGCTTACACACAGAGTCTGCCTGCTGTCTGGGAGCAGTAAGCAGCAACAATGCAACACACTCCGGGTGAGCCTGCTTTTCTCCTCAGCCTGGGCAGATGCCACACCCTGGGTGGAGCTCTCTACCTTGTGGGTCTCCCGTGTGGAGGGCAGAGACAAGCACAAGTGTACCATATGTTTTTGGTGCCATGTGTTTGTGTGACTGTGTGTGTGTGTGTGTGTGTATGTGTGTTTGTAAGAAAGAGAAAGAATTTATTCATCTGGTGCATGCGTGTGTGAGACTGTGAGGGTGCATCAACTTTGGTGCCATGTTTGTGAGTGTGTGGGTGTGTTTTCACCTGTTGCCACATGTGTGAACATGTGTGTTGGAGTATGTGTTTCAACTTGTGCTGAGTGTGCACATGTGTATGTGTGTGTGTGTGTGTGTGTATGCATTTGGGCCATGAATTGGGACTGCCCTGAGGAACTTTCCTACGTGTCAAGGGGGTGTGACGAGTGGGGGAGAGAAGACGTGTTTGGCTGGTAGAATCAAAAGGTTTTGGATGTGGAGGATGAGATTCCTATATCCCACTGGATGGAGAACTAAAAACCTACTTTACACCTTTTCATTGGTACCTATTTTTAACAGTCATTAGCTGAAAAGTAATATATGTTTATTATATAAAGCTTGAAAATTTAAAAAACAACAAGAATTAAAGAATTAAAACAACTCATGATTATATCACCTAGAAATTAAGTTTTGTCAGTGGTTTGGTTTATCCTGTTCAGTGTCCTTTTTTTTTTTTAAGATTTATTTATTTGAAGGGCAGAGTCACAGAGAGGAAGAGGCAGAGGCAGAGAGAGAGAGAGACCCTGAGTGAGAGAGATGAAGAGAGTGAGAGAGAGAGAGGTCTTCCATCCACTGGTTCACTTCTCAAATTGCTGTGGCCTAGCTGAAGCCAGGAGTTTCTTCTGGATCTTCCACTTGTGTGTGCGGGTCCAAGGACTTGGGCTGTCCTCTGCTGCTTCCCTAGATGCACTAACATGGAGCTGAATAGGAAGTGGAACAGCAAGGACTCGAACCGGCACCCATGTGGGATGTCAGCATCACAGGCTGTAGCTTTAACCCACTGTGACACAATGCCGGCCTCAATGTCTTTTTTTTAAAGTGTAAATTTACGCCATGTTTTGTTTGCAATCTAATATTTGTACATTCTGATGACAGATTTTTAACAAGGTTAAGTATTATTTGACCATTATTTTAAAAAATTGTTTATTTGAAAAGTAAAGACAGAGAGAGAAACTCCTATCTACTGGTTCATTTCCAAATGCAGTGTTGGGTTGGACCACAGCCAAGAGTCAAAAATTAAGCCTAGGTCTCTCATGTGGGTGGCAGGAACCCAATTACTTGTCCCATTATTGCTGCTTTCAAAGGTTTGCATTAGCAAGAATTGGGAATCAGGGTGGGTATCCTAACCACTAGGCTAAACATTCGCCACCTCCAAGCTCCGCCCCACCCCATGGGATATTTTAAATGACTGTCTAGTTATTCCATTTGAGTATACTCGTTCAATTCATTTTGTATAAGAAACACT